ACAGGAAGACAAGTGTCTTGAGCATGGAAACAAAACCAGCAAAAAGAACAGTGGCAGCTGGAGATGCCAAGGAAAAGTACTGGACAAGTTATCGATCTAGGAGTTTGCAGAGTTCAGCTGATGGAATGTAAACATAAATCAGTTGGTGTTCAAGGCCCACAAAAGCAATTGCTTCATCTTTTGCTCTTAGGACTTGGAGCAAATGCTTTGAAAGAAGAGTTTTCAGTTGCTACTCTTGAGGGAGAGAAGATTTGGATGCAGTATTTTAAGACAAAATAAACTATACCGTGTCTTCTTTCTTTGCTGGTACAGATTCTGCTGATACCTGGTTCTTTTCTTAGACATGCATGTTGCCTCTGGATCCATCAGACCATCCTTTTAAATTAATCTGAACTAGTTTACCTGCTATATTCTTGATGACCTTTCTGTGTGATCTCAGTTATCATAGAATTCCATGTAGGAAATATATCTGCTTTTCTACTTACAGAAAATGTTGTTTTCTTTCTCCTTTTCTGTTTGAACACAGGCATACTAAGTTTCTGTCCTGGAATTTCCTGGTGTTTTTCTTAATTCTAATCCAAACCTCTTCTTCTGTAAAGCTACCAGGGAGGTTTGCCTCTATTGAGAAGTATTTAACAGTCTGTTTTTCCATGGAGTTTTAACTACAAAGCATTTTCTTTAACTGGAAGCAAATCTTAGGGCTGCTACATAGCATTGTGGCAATCTTTGTGGCAAATCTTAGGGCTGTTCTGGTATTTTCTGTTGACTGGCCCTTGCATGTGAGAAGCTGTAGCAAGAATGATTTACACTGCTGGCACGTCCTTCATCATGCTCTCTATTAGCCTTGTCAAGGCAGATGAAGCAGATGATACTGCTTTTTTTTCAGTCAAGAATAAAAGTGTCTAGCAGAGATGCCTAGATTCGAGGCAGTAGTAGCTTTATTCAAGTACTGTTGCAGCCAGAAGGTTGAAGAGCAGGTGCTTTCATTAGATTCAGTTGCAAACAGAAATGAGGCTTCTGCTGTGCCATGAACTTATGGTATTGCTCTGACATTTGTTTTGTAGTTTGATCTTTATTTTTTGTAGCGTACATGCAAGAAGAGTTCTAGACTTCAGCTTACATGACCCTTTCAGTAAGACGTAAAGGAAGGTCAAGATTCCTTCTAAAATCCTAGTTGCTTATAGTAGCAAGAATGAAAATTCCTCAAAAACTCTCTAAGGGAATTTTATTTCCAGGAATTAGTACTTTTTTTTAAACAATTCCTTCAGTTCTGGAATATGCCACGTTCATATGCTTTGTCTTCCATTTCGATAGCGGCTGTTGTAGTTCCCGTTTTGAATTGAACACTGTCCTAGTGAATGGAAGGAATATTTGAAATATATCTAGAACTAGTGACTTGCAGGAGTTTTCATATCACATTGGTTAATGCCTGTTATCTGTCATAAGATACCTAACATGAAATAGAATTTCTGGAATTAAGTTTCTAAGGATATACAAACAATTAATGAAAGTATGAGTGAGTTTAGAATCAAATATAATAAGAAGAATGTTCAGGCTTCTTCATCTACCATAGACTTTAAACTTTGGAAGCGGTCAAACATGCAATAGGATCTAGGTAAAATTAGGTCATCTCAATGCAGAATCCAGGTGAAGTAGTGAAGGAGAGATGTACTCAGACTACTGTGCATCAAGCTTTCTCTCAGAGGGCACTGGGCTTGATTCTCTTGAAATTTTGCTTCTGGATTAGGTTAGTTTATTTGTACTTAGTGTACTTTATTTGTACTTAGGTTCTGTCATCATTCTCCTAAGCTATCTTGTTTTCAGGCCAAAAATCCTTACCTCATAAGAATGCTCTTTGACCCTCTGTATTTGCTCTCTTTAATTTTTGTGTATCTTCTGTTCGTTTATGGCAGCTAGAAGGATATTTTAAAAGAAAGGATTCTCAAATGTTACTTTTTCTGCAGAATGAAGTTAATACTGCAGATTCGTAGAGATGAAAGAGATTATGTTGGGGGAAGAATTTGTGAGTAGAAATGTAAGTTAGCTGAGAAACATGACAGTATCATCTGGAAATTTCACACTTCTGAAGAGGAAAAAAATTCTTGGTTTGCATCATGTGTGTTCAGAGAGATAGGCTCACTGTTGATGTTGTTAAAAATATAAATGTTTGAGACACATGTGCAATACTGATTGAATACTTTCAGGTATGCATTAATCTTTTTTTAATAATAGTGTGGTACTCCCTGGGGTTTTTTAAATGGTTTTAATGTTTGAACTTGGAAGTTTAGGGAGTGCTGGAAAGAGTAATAAAAATGCAAGAAAAATGTTTAGCTTGAGGGAGATAATTACAACATTTTAGGAGCAATACAGTTAGAGAAGGTTTGGGCCTTCTAATTTTCTTTTTTTCCACCATGCCCTATCTTCTTCACTTGAGTAACAATATCTTTAAATTTCTAATAATGCAGAAATGCTCAAACATTATTTTTAGTTGTTATTACAAGAATAAAATGAGAACTTTGTTAGTACAGTTTTGTTTCTACCCACAGAATCTTGTGCATAGTTGGCATGTTTTTTGGAAATTCTTAGTCTTTGTAGTTTTGATAAAGTAGATCTAGATTTGCTAGATAGAAATAAAATTTTTTCTTGCATTTAAATTTGAGAGAGATGGAAGTGAAATCAGTAAACAGCTCCAGTATTTTGAAGATGTATGAAATTCAGAAGTGATTGACATGCTGTTGCACTGCTCTTTGTGTGCATGATCCATTTTTGATATAATGTAAATGATGAGATATTTGAGATGCTGGTTAGCAAAAGCAATTTCTGTTTTCAAGGAATTTTTGTTGAAACACGTAGTTTGCTGACACAGTGAATTTTTTTCCAATTATACCCTGATCAGTTTACTATAAATTAATTTATTAAAACATATACATTTGTCTTGCTGTCTCTTGAAATCACTGTAGCTTCTGTTGGATTTCTCTTTTGGATATGGAACTTGTGAAAGTTTCATTTGCCTGTGTGTTGTTTTCTGATTATATTGCTGAATGCTCTTAGTTACTTGCAGGCCTATTTGCATCAATGCTTCTAGATTTGCAGTTTGGTTTATTCTGGAGCTACCAAGGCTATTTGTGCAAGAAGATTTTTTTTATGGTGGTTGTCCATTAAGCAGTTCCAAGGAATCAAGTCCTTTGTAAATTGTAGACTCCTCCTGTATTATTAGTAATATAACTCAGAGTTTTCTGGATGCCCTGCTGTTGTTTCGTAGCCTGTCAGAGGAGATGAATGTAAAGCAGCAGAATAGCTCCAACTCACAGAACAATATAACTGCTACATTGTTCTCTTGGTACTAAGTGTGAATTTTGTCAATATTGTGGCTGATTAGGAAGATAATGATGTCCTGAGTAACATGTTTAAAGGCAAATGAAAAATTTAAAATAGGAGGGAAGTATTCTACAGTCATATTTTATACCTTCTTCTAGATGGGAATTTTGTACCTTGACAGGTACTCCTTTTTTGAAACAGCAAAGGTTTAATCAAAACAGCCTGTGGAAATTGTGAAGTTGAAATTTCACTGGAATCTGCAAGGTGCTATATCCAATTTGTGCCACAGGCGTGTGGATTTGTATGTTTTTATGTGGATGCTCTTAGTATAGGAACGATGACATTATAAACCATAAATTTCATCTCTAGCTGTCTGTAAGAGTGGATTTAACTAGTTTTCAAATTTGGGTACTGAAAAATAGGAAGAGCAAAGACATCCTTTGAAGTTTTTTTCTGAACAAAGGGAAGCGACTGTGAAACATGCTTTGCCTTGCTTCCCCTTTCCATCCTTGAGAATAGGGAAAGAGGGAGAGAGTGCCAAAATAAGTTCTTTAGAATGGAAGAGATATTAAGTAACTAAGTGGCAATTTTCTAATACTTAATCAAGTGAGAGTCTTGCGGGAAGCCCATAATTTTTGATGAAGAATTTTCTCCATCACTGTCAAAACTGTGATACTATTTCTATGGGCAGAGAAAGTGTCTAGATATTTTTTTCTGAAACTTGCTTTATCGTGCTTGTGGTATTTTCCTAACACTGGCATATGTAATACATGTCACACATCAGAATTATTGATTTTGTATGTTGACTATGTCATTGGTATTTCTGGTTTGTGCAGCCTTTTCTGTGCTTTCTATAGAACATTTGTTGTGTTCTATGGAAAACTGCTGATGGACTGACTGCTGTGTTGAGAGATGTCAAAATCCAGTCTGTTACCAGGTTCGTGGAGTCAGAGTTGAGCATAGAAGCTCTGCAGTGTGTTCCTCCTGCTTGGAGGATTGGAGATACAATTTTTTTCTCCCCAAAGTTTATTTATTCTTCATATTCATAACTTCTTTGCTGTGCAGGTGACTGCACAATGGAACAGATTGTCCAGAGAAATTATGGATTCTCCCTCACTGGAGATATTCATGAACCATCTGGGATGCAATCCTGTGCCATGTGCTCTAGGGAAGACCCTGTTTGAATGGGGAGGTTGGACCAAAAGGAGTCTTTTCTAAGCTTACCATTCTGTGAATCACATTAGCCATGCCAGATTCATATTCCTTTCCTTACAACCATTGTCCCATCAACAAGGAGAGGGCAATAGAGTTTTTTCAAGCTTTCAGTACAACTTGTTGCACACTCTTAACCACAGTTCAGTTTGCAGACAGTGGGGTTTGGGATGGAATTGGGATGTTTTGGTTGGTTTGAGTTTTTTTGAGGGTGTGTGTATATCTGTGTGTCTTTACACAGAAGGTTAGTTTTAGCTGGCTTTTTCCCAGGAGTAAAAGATACAACCCTAGTGCTGAATGCTCTTGAGAGGATGATAAGGAGAGTTTATATAGGAAGGATTTGATGAGAGAGCACATGACAGAAAAAAAACTTTTCCTTTGTTTTTTTTTTTTTTTAAGACCATAATTTTAAGTTAAAAGCCAAGCATAGTTTTAACTAACTCATTGTTTTGCTTTTTTTTATGTTTTAGAAATGTGGCCAATTAACATCTTGTACTGGCTGCAGAGCTCAGTGCAGGTTTTTTGACATGACTCAGTGCATAGGACCTAATGGATATATGGAGCCATACTGCTCAACTGTATGCATGAACACACACAAATCAAAATATGCAAAATCACAAAGTAAGTGAAAAGGATGATGGTTTTCATCACTGCTAAGAGTAGACTTTTTAAAAATTTGAGCACTGGGGGTGGGTGCATTTATTTTACAGTTAGTCTATGCAGATGTGACTTTATAGTTTTTAACTTCATTTAAAAAAACCAAAGCATCTTCCGTTGAATGCCAGTTAATGGACCCTTGAGGATTCATTTTCCTCACTGGCCTTTTTTTGTGATGTTGGAAAGCATTTTCAGCTGTCTTAAGCCTTCCTGTGAAAAAACTGCTGAAGCATAATGTGCTCCAGTGTGTCACAGGATGACAGTGCAGGTTTTTTGTATATGAATTCATATTCTCTGGATCCTCATATGTATCCCACCCTGGATTTTTTTTTTTTTTTCAGTCAAGCAATCAATGGATAGTTACGATGCATATAGATATTCTCTAGGTAAAGTTTTTGATGTAGTAAATAATTCAAAACATGTGTTCTTCAGTATGCAAAGCAGATCTCAACCTGAAGTTGAAAATACTCCAGTGAATTTTATGGAAGAAGGTGTTTTCATATTTAGTACTGATCTTTAGTGAAAGTATTTATCTAAACTTCTCTAATTTTTTTTTTTTGTGCGACTTGTAGAAGCTGACTGGAAAACAGACTAATCTTAGTTTTCTGCATTGAAAACTAAAAAGGGCTCACCTGTAATACTCTTTTTTCCCTATTATTTTCTGTTTATTTTGTTTGTAAACCACGTTTTTCTTTTAGGTATGGAAATTATTTGCCACTTTTGTAAGCGAAACTCTTTACCTCAATATCAAGCCACAATGCCTGATGGAAAACTGTACAACTTTTGCAGTTCCAGTTGTGTAGCTAAATTTCAGGTTAGCTGTTGTGTTAAATATTTTCCTCCCTTAATATTTGTATGCCTGTGTTTGTGTTAAGTATTTGAATATTAAACTAACTTGCTTGTGTATACATGCTTGAGAGTTACAATTAACAGGTGTTCCTGGCTCATAACAATTTCTTATATCAAAAAGTGCTGTTGCATAATGATAACACTAGCTGCTGTCTTAAACTTATAAAATTGGATAATAATAACCAATTTCTGCTTTATATTGTTAGAAAACACAAAGGTATCACTACTCATCTTATTTTTGCTACCTTTGCTTCATGGATGTGAGCCTTGCTGTTTTGCATTGAAGATCAACAAATCTAGCCTCTTTTGTACTAAACAAAATAGTAGAATTCTCATTGAATGTAGAGCTAACAAAGGTCTGCCATGGAGAAAAGTGATTCCTTCTGAAATGGAAGGTTAGAGCCTCAGCCATTTCATTTATGGACAAAACTAGCTGTTTAAATTGTGGCCAGAAACTGGGGGATTGCAAGGTTGATGACATGCACTCTGGATGAGGCTGCTCTGCTTGTTGAAAGTGTCATAATTTCAGTATGAATCAAGGTTAAAGCATAAGTGAAATGTGCTATAGCTGTTAATCTCTTGGTGATCAAAGGATATTTTAAAAGAATATGTTTCAATTTTTGTATGTAAAAGCATTTTTCCCAGATTTATGCAGGATAATTGATAATTTCTTCCTCATGTGTTGTTGAAGAGTTGCACTTACACAGGGTTTTCCCATTTGTCATTGAACTTAGCTGTTTTCTGTCAACTGGACAGCAAACTGGTCTTTTAATATGCTTCTTTAATATACCCTGGGTAGGACCTCTATCATGTAGCCATGTTCTGTGTTTCCATCATAACCAATTTGGTAGGTCTCTGTCAGTGGAACTGATTAACATAATACCTGTGTATTGTTAATATATAAAGACAGACTGTAATACTTATTGCAAACTCATTTAACATCTATTTTATTGTACGTGATTTTACAATCATTTGCATCCCCAAGAGCTCTTGGAATAAACACAGCCAGAGAACGATGAATTCAACCTGGGCCTTCTTGGATTTGCACATATGTCAACATTAAGAAGCATTATTGAATAGAACTGGCAGATCATTTAATGCTGGCTGTGGGTTTGTGGTCTTACTGAGTCCTTGTGCTCACGCTTCTATTGCAGTCTCAGTGCTGCACGTAGATCTCCTGTCAGAGCTGTAGTGGAGTTTAATTGAAGCAGCTTTGCATTCCGTGAGTTCTCAATAAAGACCAAGAATGTGACAACCTACCAGTTGTCACTTGCTTACAGTTCGTTTGCTCAAACAGCAGTGTTGGATTTTAACTTTTGATAGCTTTTGTATAGTCACTGTGTAGAAGAATAAAACATATTCACCATAAGGCTAGAGTTGAATGTATGAGCTTCTTTGTTCTGTTCCATTTAGTATTTAGGTGGAAAGGATGGTATACCACAATGTGAGCACTGAACTGTTGGTGTTCTCTTGAGGCTTCTCTTGTAACTAAGTGACATCTAAGGTATTGAACCTAAATTGAAAAAATGGCTGACTTACTATGGTGCTCCATATTTTTCAGTGTTAATGGCCATAACTCCTCTTTTAGTTTTCTGGATTCATATTCATCCCCTTCTCCCGCTTTGCTTGCTCTTCCTAGATTTTTTTCTTTAAGGCTTGTCCTTCACAAAACATAATAACTGCTATCTGAGGCCTGTGTTTCTTCTCTTCTGCAAGTGTTTTAGTCCTTTCTGTTTACAAATGGGTAAGTTTGTTTTACAGAACTTCAGGATTGATTATAATTGTGTCTTACAAATTACCTTTTGTTTCTAGCTAGTTGTTCTTTTAATGGATTGAAATTTTGGAAAGATTCAGCTGAGCTGCATGTTGTATGGTTTATGTCCATATCTACATTCTCCTTTGAGCAGACTGTAAGAGCATTTGATAATGTAAGAAAGAGAGTAAAAGAGAGATAACAGCCTGATTTATGTGTTTTTGTTTGGTAGTTGGTGGTAGAACAGCGAAACTGAATCTTGTCTTCCACACTCTGTCTTGGAGAATGTTTAGGCAGAGTTAAAGACAGAACTCTTCCCAAGGTGTATTGTTTTAAATCAGTATTGATACTGGTATTTCTACTGGGTCAGTTGAAGATCTTGCTGTTAAGGGAAAAATAAACTATTGATTATTTATTGTGAACATGGAGGCAGTAAAACAAGCGTCTTCCCAGAGTTAGCAGCTGTGTGTCTGACAGTAGAAGCTATCTGGCAGAACACAAGTCTGTGCAAAATTTGTGCTCAAGCTTTAATTGGTTTGGGATTTGTTTCCAATTTATGTCTGTATCTGGAGAATTGTAGGACCAGTATGGGCAAGAATTACAAGTACAGTGGTTTTTAGCAGGATACTCTCTCTGGTTATTCACTAATGCTGTTCTCTTTCACCATTGTGATGGTGCCTGGAAGTGTTCTTGGCTGTATATACTGCATCTCTCTTGTACACATGTGTCTGCACACAGATAAATACTCTTCTAAATTTGATAATAATAAAAATGTGCCTTGTGTGCTCGGGGTGGAAGGTCTGTGTGTGCATGAGTGCAAGGGAAAAGTTTGTTTCCTTCCCTGTTTCATTTAGTTCCCTTGATTTTGCTTGTGGACCAGTCCTAGTGAATGACAACATGTAGAAGATTGCTTATAAGTGCTTCTCTTATGCACATTAATAACAGCTTGATTCTCTCCAAGGTTTGGGGTTTTTTTTCTCAGCTGGAAAAAACACCTAACCTCAGTCTGGCTGCCTGCTGGCTCTTCCACATGTACAGTTACATACAGAAATGTTTCCACAATTTGATTTCATATTGCTGTGAGCAAGGATAACTCTCTGTCACATGCTGCTTTGGCAGGGCTGGCCAGACGCTATGCTGCTGTGGTGGTCTTCTCAGAAGATCCTGGGCTGTGCCTGCCTAGTGTTCATTATTAAACTGGCAAGTTGAAGCAGTTTGAGCTGGTTGCCTTGAAGGCTGAAAAGGGCTTTACAATGGGTCTTTTTGCTTTGCTTCCACTTTCCATGCTCTTGTTATTCAGGGCAGGCTCTCTAAAGAGCAAGCATAGGTACATGACTTCAAAGATATCTTTGATACAACACAACATAGATAAAACTTTGTGTTCAGGGTGCCTGGTGAAAGATTTTAATGAATTTATGATCTTTCTTTCTTTTACTATTATTTGTGTGTAATTATGCTCCCAAATAATTCCTAAAGGTACTTTAAGTACCTTGTAAGTTAGAAGCAAAGCAAGATGGTGAAAATACTAAATGCATATCATCTTGGCTCAAAATATTACGCATAAGCAGTCCTTAATTGTAAGCAGAATAACTGGAACTTTAAAGAGGCATACAAAATAATGTTGTAGTTAACTTGATTTAAAATCCATCTTCTGCTTGGTTTAGAACTTTGAGTAATATTAATTCAGTTCTTTACAGATTTTTCTGGAAAAATATTTAATTAACTAGAGGAGCATATGATAAAAAATCTTTGCTTTTGGGTTTTTTAGAAGTAGTAATGCTTAATAGCTTAGATTTATTTAATCTATAGGTATGTGTAAATTTCCTTTAAAACAAATTCTAATTTTAAATAGCCTTAATCTTTGTTGTTCTCACTTCTCTAGCTTTTTGTTATTTTGGAATTACCAGCCTCCTAGACTTTGTGAGTCTGAATTTATACCCCAGTAAACAGTAATGGAAAGAAATAAAAGAAGGTAACCATGGCATACCTCAGAAAACAACAAAAAATTATGTTTTACATTTAACTTACAGCCCTCACAATAGGGTCCCATATTTAGGGTCCCATATTTAAATGTAACTACAGATATGAAAGATAAGGATTGCTTTTCATTTGATGACCACTATTTCAAGTAATACACTATTTTGTCTTCATTCCTTCCTCTGTCTTCAGTGTTTCTGTACAAATTGCCACATCTGCTAGTTCTTTACATCTCCTTAATTCCTGAACTGGAGGTGCTGAGTATTCTTGTGTTACTTTCATTTTCAATGAGAGCTTCTAGGGCTTCCATAAAGCACACACATGTGTCGAACATGATGTTTGCTCTGTGAGGACACCTGCAAATGCACAAGTGCACAGGTTGGACCTTGCAGTTAGAAATGCCTTTGTTGCTCTCATGTTTGTGCAAATCTTCAGCTATTTTGAGCAGCCAAAGTGAAGCAAACCCTGCTCAGTCACAGGGATATTTGCTGGATATAATGGGAGAAATATGATAATATTGTCTGTAGGTATCAGAAAAAAAAGTTGTAGAAGTTATATATATAAAGTTGTTACAGGCTGATTGGCCATTGAGGTGTCATTTTCTGCTGCCTGGCATTTGGTTCTCAAGTCCTACCTGTGATTGGGAAATATGCATGACTACTTAATATCGGCAAACGCTTGATACAGAATTAATGCATCTGCATGAGATGATACTGTTTGCACTGCCAGCTAGAACTCAGCAGTACTGGACCACATAGATCAGAGTTTATATCAGCAATAAGTCTCAACATAGTTTTGAATTTATTTTTTATTTTGGGTGAACCCTTACTAACATGAGAGTCTGAAGAAAAGTATCCTATAACAGAAATGTTTTGAATAGTCACTGTTATACAGTGGAGAGGTAGTAACAAATCTGTCTGAAGAGAATTTGTCTTTAAATATATTTGTTTTGTTGCAAATAGTGTGGGAAAGTATTGAAAAGACAGATGTGAGAAATTTGTCCTGGATTCTTCAAGTGTCTGATTACTGCTGGTTCAGATTTTTCTCTTGAACATCACATCTATAATACACCAGTAGTTCTTGCTTAATCAGGGAATTTGCAAAAATGCTCAATTCTGTTGGCACATATAAGACACTGAAAGATATAGGTACTGTATAATTGAGTTTTTATCTACTGATTGCCACAGAAATGCACTAAAGAAATTTCTCAGTTACAGAATTAAATTCTCATACCTACACATGTAATCTATAGTATTTTTCTCAGTTTGAAACCCCTGGAATGTTTAGAGGCTGATTGTGTCAATAACTGCATCTTCCTGCCATGGGATTGAGGCTACTTAGGACTGTCAGGTAGTTTTGTCTTAATCTGAGTAGATGTGACATTTCTAACTGAAAGCCTTTTACTTCAGTAGTTGTATTTTCAAGTGGTATGCTTACATAAGATGTTGATAATCTGCCTTGGTGAGGTTTGGATTTGAAAACATTTGTTTGTTGGTCTTTATCTATCTGTCGCCAAAATAATACAAGCTGTGAAATGTATTTATCTGAAAATATGCTTTGTGATTAACAAAAGCGTTCTGTTTGGGGATTTTTTAAAAATTTTTACAAAAAAATGTGTTAACCCTTAAATAAAAGGTGTAAGAAAGGTAAGGTTAAAAAAAAAAAAGTCTTAAAGTAATTATAGTAGAAGTAAGGGTAAAGATTCAAAATTGAAAAACCTGAGATGAAAAGGGAAAAATGAACCAGCCTGCTGTGCTTTTGCCAGAAATGTTGTTAAGTTTATAAATAAACTCCTGAATTCTCAAATACTGTAAGCTTAAATGAAAAAAAAACCACATTTTAAAAGTAACTGTGTTTTTTTAGTGATGTATGTGTATATATATTTATGTTTTTCAGACGCTCAGTGTTCAGTCTTCAACAAATGGTCAGTTCGTCTCTCCCAGTGATATTCAGTTGAAATGTAATTATTGCAAAAGTTCTTTCTGTTCAAAACCAGAAGTACTGGAATGGGAGGTAAGGGTGTTGTTCTTAGAATGATGATGTGCTTAAAACTTTAAACTTAGAATTTTAATGCGGTTTTGCTAGCTATTTTATGAAGTATTGAAGTTTCTTTTAAAAAGCTTGGTTAAAATTTACCTGGTTCTGTAGAATATAATTTAATTTTAGTATGGATCAAAGCAGAAGTCTTTTTTCATAAATAGTATTTGTGGACTTTAAAAAAATATTTTTTATCAGATCAGCTGTAAGTCTGGAATCTGCTTTCATCTTTAGTTATTGTAGATATGATAGACCATTATTATACTTGTTTATGAACTAAGAGAAGTATCTAAAGAGCATATGCTGAGATTGAGTGACATATTTTCTGTTCAGTGTTTTCATGTGAAATGATGAGTATTTATAACCCTGTCAGCTTAATTGGGATTTGTAAATTTTTAGCATTAGAAGTCATACTCTAATTATGTGTTCACACTTTACTTTGCAAGTTGTCTTAATGGCAGCTATTATTTTAAGTTGCACTAGTTAGACCTTAAGATTTGATCCATTAACCTTATTCATGGTGCTTTGCAACTTTGCATTTAGAACAAAGTATATCAGTTCTGCAGCAGAGCATGTTCTGATGATTATAAGAAACTGCACTGCATAGTTACGTACTGTGAATACTGTCAGGAAGAGAAAACGCTCCATGAAACAGTGAATTTCTCTGGTATCAAAAGACCCTTTTGCAGTGAAGGTATGTATGTATTTGTTGTTTTCCTGAGGTGTTGGTTATTGTTCTACTGCGATTTACATACTTTGTTTATATGTTAAAATTCAAGGTAACAACTCATTCTGTTGTACTTGAGGCTAAACCAGAAGTCTCTTCGTTACTATTATTGAAATGATTGTACCTGTTATTGTTAATGCAGGTACTTTTTCATTTATCTGAGCTGCCTTTAGAGCTTTTCACCACTTAGTCCAGGTTAAGGGTAAAACTCTTAAGTGTGTGTCTGTATAAATACCTACACATTTATGCACATTGCATACATACATATTGTACAAAAAAAAGTATACATTCTTTTTAAAAAAATGTGTGCAGTAGTGCATGTGCAACATTAACTGCACTGATGAACACCAAGCTTTCTCTTTGATTAGCAATTTCTAAATAAGTTCAACAGTAGAAGTTTTATGTTGGCTTAGAAAGGTTACTTAAGCAATAACTAGAATGGTGCCTGTTGCTGTGTGTTGAGTACTGTCACTATAATTTACTTGACTAATTACTTGAATTTTCAATCAGAAAACAAACTAAAAGGGAACTCCATGGCCCTAGAATTCTTTGAAATTGCATTAAAGCATGGTTTTAATAGAATTAGTAAAATAAGTTTTTAACAAGGACCTGTCCTTTCCACTTCTGGTGAGCTCTCCTTTCATACTGGTATTTAATCATGATCTTAGAAATTTAACGACAAGTTTGGATGGCTATTACTCAAAATACGGTGAATATTTTTTTGTTTAGTTATAACAGCAACACTTCCAATGTCATTTGATAAGACCTGTGGAAGATACCTGCTTTCAGGCAGCTTAAATAGTAGATATGGGAGTTATAGGAGAATCCTATTAAGTTGGAGAGGGTTGGAATGCAGTGCTGAAGGCAGTCTTCCCTCCATGCCGTTCCCATACAGCTTCGGGACTCTTCAGTCATTTGTTTCTGAAGAATGGGGTGTGGTATTCTGGAGTGGAAAGTGATAGCTGGAGAGTAAAAACAGAGACATGAAGGCCCAGCCTTACAGTGTTCAGTGCATTGCTCAGCAGCCCCTAGCTAGGAATTGTTTCTGTGAAGGAAGCAATTCCACAGAACACATTCAAACAAGAGCAAGATACTTTTCTGGAGATTAAAATATATGCTTCTATTACTGTGCATATTTATGACTCCCTCATTTTAAAGCTGGATGGCTGTCACAATGAAATGAGTAGGGTTCATAATGGCACCTATGCTGTTACTACTTTTCTATGAGGAGGCTTGAAGTAAGCGATGACTTGTGTTTCCAATTGGAAGATTTGAGGAAGAAAAGAAATAAAAACAGTCTTTCCTGTTTAGCTACTAAGTGGGGGGAATCTGTTGCCAGATGTCTTGGTGTGGGTCTTGAGTTTGCAGGTGCTGGGCTGCCAGCACAAGAATAAATACTACATTTATGAGGGTGAGCATGCAGAACGTTACCATAAAGACAAAGATTATCATCTTACTGTGATGATCTGAACTACTGAGTAGTAGAGAGAGGATAGTCAAAACCACCATTAAGTAGATCATAACTTGAATAAATATCAGTGTATACCTGCCAGCTGTAGCTGAGGTCTACTTTGTGATGCATATGACAAAGAGCTGTATGTGTTCCTCTCACAAATAAACCAGTGACCTGGACAGAAATTCTGAAGGAACCCTAGACCATTTATTTTGAAGGAAAACCATCAATTGCCATTAATGGCTGCAGAAATAGTGCGATCCAAGAAGGAATGGTGCTTAGATCTGATGTAGGAAGAACAGGGCCAGGACTTATGGTGGACTTTTGGAGGTCAACAAATAGGAGTTCCATCATCAGATGTGACAGATTTTTCTTGCCCCTTTCCCAGGCACCTAAACATCACTGGTTTGTCCTTAATTTCAAAGCATTTTATCAGATATATGTCCAACTGTTTGTGAAATAACAAAACCAGTACAAGTACCAAATATTTTCTGATTGTGGAGGCCATTCTGATTTTGATATTGCAGATTGTTCAAGGAACAATCAAGGATTGTTCACCAACACAGATTATTTTTTTGAGCATGCAGTTACTCTTCATCAGTAGACAAGGTATTACAGTTTGGGAAAGAGTAGCCAGAGGTACTCAGTCACAAAAGTTGCTGGCATTTTTGGAAGAAATTGAACCCTCAAGGGGAAATGTGAGGAATTTTCAGGGGAGTATTTATAAAAGGCTCCTAGATAAAATCAGAAATTAAACACATGTTGAAATTTCTGGAAATGTACTTATTTGTTCGTTTTTGTGCAAACTGATGGGAAAGCATGTATAAGATCAACCACAAATTTCTCTTGACTGCTTACAGCTGCCCAGCTGGACTACTGAAGATGTCGTCATTGCTCCCATTCTTCATACCTGAGGGGTTTTTTCACACATGCTTATACATATATATTTACACACAAACCCTGACACCCACATTAAAGTCTCTTGGATCAGTATTTCTGTGTGGTTTTACTCCAGCTCTGTTTCTTTATATGTTTCTCTTGAGACACTTCAAAACATGTGCAGAAAGCCTCCATTATTATAAGGTGTGATTAGAACTGACCTAGATTTTGTGCTGAAGATGGTTATTAATTCTTTCATGGAGTATAGGATGCTTTTTCTGGTTTTGTCCAAAAATTGGATGCTATGAACAACCTGAACGGAGTAGATGAAAGAGTTTAATCTGTTCCCCTGGTGCTGAGGCTGTCCTGGTGTTTTGCCACTAGAATGCTGCATTCCAAAACGTCTGTGTCTAAATTAAATAAGCATAAACAAGCTACTTCTTACTTTAGCATAATAATATATATGCTAAAGTATGAAGCAGCTTGTGGATTTTTATGTATGTATAGTTGCATGAGTGACAGTTGAGGATAGGCTGTACAAGTTTTTAATCCTGAGGAAATCTTCAAATTACAGGGTTTGGGATATTTTAGGAGTGGGTTTTTTCTGTTGTTTTTGAAATACATATTCCTTCTGAGAGTCTGGGAGAGCAAATCAGTTTTTGGCAATCCAGCAATGAAAGTATTTTATGATGAGTATCACCATAATTTTATTTTATTTGTAGACTGACTTAATTAATCTTTCCAGTAGAACTAAGTGCTATGACTTAAACAACACAGGCGTAATCATTTTATAATGCGAATTTTAATAACACTGATTCATATCTGGTCATCTTCTTCTAGGAGCGAGAAGGTTATTAAGATGTTGGATTAGTTCAGTTATCTGATGCTTGGGAATTCTTTTCAAATGGATAATGCAGATAAAAGACAGCTGTCAAACTAGCAACTGTACCATCACCCTGATAGCATGCTAGTAGATTTCTGGGAATTATGGTTTCTATAAATGAAACTCAATGCAGACATTGAGTTTTCTCTGAAAACATCTCTGATGTTTCATCTAAGTAGAGATAATATCTTAAAATACTGCAGAGTTGACAAGTGGAAAAATAAATTTAGGAAATTAGGTAATTCTACCTTCTTCTGGGAAAGGTTCAGTTAAAGCATTGTAGATTTTAGAGTGGGATTTTCCCAACCAGTACTGCACAGTGGACTGTTTGTAAAAGTATACTATTAAATGATTAATTTTTAGATTTATATGAAAATATTACAGATACAGAGATAGCCTAAACACGGGTGTGTTAAGTTTTGTAGAGGTGCTTACATTCCAGTGTTTCACAATCAGTTAGGATACTACCTGATATTTATAACAATTCCTGCTGTGATTAGAAACAGCAAAAAAAAAAAAAAAAGTAAAATGTGATGTGTGATATGAAGCATTGCTAAGACTTAGTTATAGTTGCTGGGCTTCTGTGGTGGATGGGCCAAGGAAGAGTTGGTGCACTATCCCTGCTGTGCTGAGCTGCTGTGTCCCCCTAGACACAGGGAGGTACCATCAACCCTGCATGAATCTCTTTGTTCCTGATGATTGGTCTCATTATTTTTAAAGTGAGAGCTACAGAGACTGTTCAAGCACAGCTTTTTAAATAGTTTAGATTAGCAACTATCTTTTTTAGAGTCACTGATACTGCTTTTGAAAATAAAATGTACAGAATTTGGGTTAGCGTACAGAAATTTTTGAAGACAGTATAAAATCACTCTTTTACACACTCTAGGATTTGTGCTTCACAAAGCTGTTACATCACTTTCTACAGCTCTTGATGGAGGCCTGCCATGTTGAAATAATTTGATCTTGCTATGGTGCCTAGTTTGGTTTTGTTCATGACTAGCTCTTCTGGCAGTGTCCCTTTTGAGATAAATTTTTACCTGAAATGTCAGTTTCCTTGTGGCTTTCATTTAAAGCTGTGTTTGGTGCTGAGTTGGGATATCCTGGCAAAAGGGGACAAGTAAAAAGCAGAACATGTCTTAAATACTGCAAAACGCGTGATCTGTAAGAATACTTGTTCACAATTGCAAGAGTCATGTTGTTACTGCAGGAGGATATTCCTTTCCTACAAACTGGGTTAGTAAAAAAGGGAAGTGAATGTTGGAGGTATTTAGAGATGTCTGGGCTATTCTGAGACACTCTGACATCCTTAGGCTTCTATGGAGAGAAGTTAGAATGGGACATTCCTGTTTGAGCCATGGCAGTTTTCTTTAGGGAAGTCTGATGGCACAGAGGCCATGGTTGTGGCCATGACTGTTCAGGCCATGTCATCTGATTAAGTAGTCTGGTTTTAAATCTTTGAGCCACAGGTGACTGTTCCAAACAAATTTTGTTACTGTAAAAGCTTTTTTTTTTTTTTTTTTTTTTTTTTTTTTTTTTTGCTTATAGAAATGAGTTAAGGTAAAAGGGACAGCATATTCAATTCTGACAGGTCACTTAGGTGGTATTTAACAGGCTCCCTTGCTACAGAAGCACCAAGTGAAGGCTATGCTGAAGGAAAGCAAAGTTCTGCACCTCCTAGACAAATGTACATGGAAGAGCTGGACAGTTGGTTCTTGTGGTATTCCACTTGTGGAAGAGTCTCAGTGTAGATGTAGTTTCCAATTAGTGCTTCTTGGATGCATCTCTTCTGAAATTACTGGACAGTTTTAACCTGTTAACCTGGATTTTGATATTTCTGACAGTGTTCTTGTAGTTGAGAAATGGAAAGGTATAGCTATGCAGTGGAAGAGATTGTTCATCTTTCCCTTTGTAGAGGGAGAACACTGATAGTATTCAAGTAATATAATTTAAAATTTCTGTACATGTATTGAGTATTGACATTTTTATTTTTCTTTGTGGAAAGTTAATTTGTAACATGATAAAGAATATCAGATGAAATCCTGTGCATTGTTTGACACCAGTGGTCCTTGTTAGATTTTCATTCTTCCTTGTTAATTCCACTGTTGTATCTTTTTTTAAAGAAGTTTGATATAGTTCTTTGAGCAAAGGCAGCATTGACTGGTGTAGATAAGGGGTGATGCAATTCAATGTGCTGAGATTATGAGCACAAGTAGAAAGCTTATAAAGATGCTTCTTATTAACATTATCAACCTGAAAAGATTTCAGAATAAGCAAAACATGAGTAACTGGATTGGAGTAGAAGGGAGAAGAATGGAAGGAGATAGTACCTAATAGCAGGAAATAGTAGGATAAACTGAGGTTGTATGAAAGTTGGATTGAATACTAATAAAAGGTTCTTAAAGTGAAGACAAGGAATGAAGGGGTATACACAACTTCTCTTCACACAGAAAAGGGTAGGATCTACTTCAACATTAATCCAAGCAGGACCCAGAATTTGAATACATTGCATCTGTTTTCATAGAAATAATAATGTTTGTTATGAATCCAGAGACAGCAGGTGATAGCAGTGTGGGTATGGAAGAGATTTTGCATTCACATTAGTACAGAGGGAGATGGAGCAGAAAGATCTGTATGAAACATAGCTTGAGAAAGCTTCCAAGACATAGCTTGTTATTAAAGGCCTGTTGTTATTCTTCTCTAGAACAGGTAATAATTGACGTTATTACAAGATGAGAGAAAAGCAAGTTTTGCATGTCACTTGAAGGACAAAGGTCGTTTAGTAAGGACAGCATTTCAGAGGTAAAGAACCAATTCTTTTAGGATAGAACAATTACATCTTATAAAATATATTAGTCCTCGTGGTAAAAAGGTGCTGGTGTTGAGAACTCAGAATTATTTCTGGTTCAGCATTCCTTTTTACACAGCTACTTGATGTAGAAATGTACTGAACTTCTGTCATTCAGGTAGTTGCTGCTGGTAGATCATGTTTGTAGTAGCCTACTTGCACTGAGTCTGCAGTCAGTCAGGTGAAGCAGGTTTTCTGCTGTGGGTGACTCTGCAGGGCTGAACCTGGCAGTTCTTGGATCTGCCAAGAATAAGGAAGCTCTCTTAACCTGGAATTTCCCTGAGGTAAAGGTTTTGAGGAGCTGCCTGGGTGTTGTCTTGTCAGCAATCTTCTCTTTTATGTGTTCAGATAATTTCTTTCTCTACCATTTATGTGGGGAACCAAAATTCAGGGCTCTTAAGAGATAGGTTTTGTGTTGGGTTTTGCTTGGAAGCCAGAATTCTAATACTGTAATTAAGGATATGTTAAATTAGCAGATACTCACCTGCTTGGTTTTTGTTTGCTTGTGATTTTGACTTGGAGATACTTCTGAAAATGGTCCTTACTGGTCTTTCTGAGACAGCCAGCTTATGGGATGGTGTTAGAACTTTTAAAGACGGTAATTAATGGTTGGTGTAGTTTAAGACAGATAACCTGTGCTTATAATTTCTTTCAAAGTAAGAGGTGTCTTCTCTCAGAGGCACTTTAAAGCAGTAGAGGTTTTTATCTGATCACACTAACTTGTGGGTCTGGTGTTGTAGCAGAAATCTTGAGGAAGTTAGGATTTTACTCAGATCTCTTTTTCAAAATGATGGGATTGTCAGCTGTCTGTTTTAGGCAGTGTTTATACTCATGAACCCCAAGTCCCCAGAGGAGTTAGGCTGAACAACCCTTAGGATTTTAGTGTTGATCTTAGAAAGGTCAGACATTCAGTGCTTTTTGTATTACTCATTCACAGTGTGCCATAAATCAAAGCCAACTTCATAGTCACATCTACAAGGTCAGCATGGGTGTTACTGTTATGTTGATTCAGGATTACTCTTGTGCAAGAGAAGACCAAATTGTTTGAGCTTAGAATCTTGTTTTGCCAAAGAAAATACCTTTTTCCATACAAACAGTCTTACTCTTTCAATCAAAACCATAGCATTGTAATAAAAATGTATATACTAGACTGCAGACTACCAAGGACCTAAGAAAGGCATTTTGCTTTCTCTTTCTTTGAAGTCACAAGATCTTGAAGCTAAACTTGGCCCCATAGATTAAGTTACCTGTTATAAACACATAAAAGACTTTCAGACAAACCTGTAATATTTTGCTCATGACGTTGCAAAAGAAAGACTTTGTAAAGATTTTACTTTAGCAAGTTTCGGCATTGTAAGAATCTACAGTCAACATCCAAAGTTTTATAAAAACAGGTTTTTTATCTTCTGTAGAGGCCTCCTTCAGCAAGAAGCCCTGCTGTCAGTGGTCTGTAAAAGAACCCCATGTTTTCCAGGCATTTAGGTTTTAAGGGCTGGAATTTTGGACTTTTTATTTCCCCTTAAGTCATGAGTCATGGAGATGTGGGAGATGTTTGACTGTGGAGTGGAAAATTTCTTACCTGATAACTTTTTAAAATAAAATAGCAGCATCATCAACTTCACTTCCTGTAGTTCAGCAGCCAAGGAAAAATGCAAATTTTTTTCCATTCCTTTTTGTAAACTATTTAGCCAGGTGGATATAGGTTGCCTGGTTGGTAGTAGAGGAGTACTACTAGTCTAGTAGTCATAGTTCTGAAAGGGTGATGCAGCATTGGGTGGCTTTTCTAAGAGACTGCTGAAGAGGAGGATACATTGTGGTGCTAAGATATCTCTGGATTTTTAAGAAGTGGAAAGAATATGATGCTCCATGCAATGATGAGAGGTACAGCCAGCAGGAAAAAATACTGTCAAGAAATCTTGCTTTTAACTGGTACTTTTAATGAATAGCTTGCACACAGTGTTATCTTTAGGATTGTTATTTCCTTCAAAGCAATGTATTTAAAGTCCAAATCAATTGCACTCTAAGGATGGTTGCTGGATACGGCACTTTCCATCTGTGCTAGGAATTTTCTTTATTCTGTGTTGAAGAACTTAAAAGAGAAAACCCAAAGAACAAACAGAAGAACACCCCAACAAAACCACTTTAAACCAAATTACCTACAGTGTCTTATTTGTACAATATTCTATAAATGTCTTATTTTGACATTACTAGCAAATTTAATTTGTTAGCAAAGCTTGTTGCATTACAGGTTAAAGTTCCTCAATAACCTTTTGCTTTTGGAAGATTCAGTCTGCTGCTTCTTCCATTTGCATTCTTGTGCTTTTAGTGATTTAATAATAGGATCTCAGTTTCACATGTATTAATTCTGCCCTAATAGACAGCAGCAGAAGTCGCATAAATGAAATTACTGAATACATTATAGTATCTTATATTCTGTATGGCAGAGGAAGTACAGCATATATCTTACCTACTGAGGTTCATAACTTATCAGAAGTATGGAAGTCTGCATCTGTTAGATTATGTGTATGTCCTAGCAGAGTGGGCACTTGGATGACTTGAGTTCTCATCTTTGGTGGTGCTGTGATATTTGGTAGATCACAAAAACAGGTGCAGTACCTTAGATTAAAGGTCTGTGTAAATGTTATCTTGTCCCTCCAGTGTTTGATATAGTTACTTTATCTTCTCATTCTGTTCTCCCTTGTAAAATTAGGACAATTACAGAGGTATGCAGTATATACTTTAGGCATCAGCTGAATAGGTGTTGGATTTGAGGATATTTAAGTACAATATATTCTGAAAATAGCCTATATAATAGCTACAGTATTCATCTTCTAATGCATTTAATATGGTAGAATGTCTTTCTAATTTGCTTGAGGGAGGATCAGATTATGGAAGAATACAGCTGTCATTATTGCAACCTTAAAATTGTGATTGTGTAGTAAATGAAAAAAAACCACAGTAAACGCTCCCACCCCAAAAAAACCCCAAAACACCAAAAACCCAACCAACACAAAACAACAACTGACCAAAACCAAAATAACCAGCATCTCCACCCCACCCCAATGTGGGGAAAAAAAATTAAAGTATTAATTGCATATAAGCTCTTCACAAATTTAATGTGTAATTTCTTGTCGTTGGATAACTCTCACTACTGACCATTGCTTGCTTTGTCGTTACATTTTTAAAGAAATCCCTCAATTCTGAGGTCATCTTGTACATATTATTGTTCTTAAATGTTAATGAGTTATCTTAAGTGGTTTGTTGTATTTATATAAAAAACTTCGTAATAAAATTAAGTTGATCCATGAAGCTAGGTATTTCTTTAGTAGATAGTGTTGTCTGGATATCTAGCATTTTGAGGATGTGTAACTGAGCAATGTAACTCCAAGTCAAGCTTTTGCATGGGTCTATATTAAAAGAAAACGATGTATTTTTTTCCTGACTGTTTATTCAGGGATTTGATGAAAAAAAAGATTCAGCGTAGGGTTTTGAAAAAGATGCAGGTGTCACAGGAAACCATAAAATTGTGTAGGGAAGATTTTTGGGTAAAATTGTGTTGAAATACAGTCTTACTGTGCAAACTAAATTTGTCTGAAGCCCCAGTTGTTAGCTGTTTTTGTATCCATTTAAGTTTCAATATTTAACTCTTAACTGTGATATATCTCTGTAAAAGTTACTTTGTTCCTAATGTTTAAAATCTGTTTCCAGGCTGCAAGCTGCTATATAAACAAGACTTTGCAAGACGGTTAGGACTGAGATGTGTTACTTGTAATTACTGCTCACAGCTGTGCAAAAAGGGAGCAACTAAGGAACTTGATGGTGTAGTGAGAGATTTCTGCAGTGAAGAGTGCTGTAAAAAATTTCAGGACTGGTACTACAAGGCAAGTAACTCAGAATTTTTGACGAGAGCTCCACAATTAAAAAAACCAAAAATGCACATGTGAGGAAATCTCAAGGACTGTGCAGCAAATAGGCTTGCTTCAGCAAAGCATTTGCTATAGAATAAGCAAATGTATTAATTTCATAATTTTAGTTTTTGTAGATCTTAGAGCAGCATTTCTATAATCTGATTTTATTAATTCGTTTGGCAAGGAAGTCTTGAGTTACAGAAAACAAAAAAATTAGTATGTATATTTGTTACTTTACAATTCCAATTTTTTCTCAGTTAATACCACATTTTTCTTGTCAAAACTTCTTTAATGTGTATTCAGAACGTTGAAAACGCTGTTAGTAGCCGTTGGATACCTTGAGTTCACTGACATTAGCAGAGGTTTTCTTGTTCCTGTTTTTGCCTCCTTTTTTGCCTTTTCCCTTCTCCCACAGTTTGAACTGCAGAGGCTTTGATTGTTCAGTATTTCCCAGTGGAAAGGATGCCAAAGGAAAAAGCAAGACTAAATGGATTTCTAATAACAGTTTAAATCAAACAGATGGCATCTAAGTCTCTGGAAGCTTAACTGCCTTGTGAAGCACCAGCCAAAGACTTCACAATAAGAGGTTTTTTGTTTACATTTTTTGAAAGGAAAAGATGAAATTGGACTGGGTTTAACCTGCGATTAGTGCCGTGGATAAAATATTTGATCTCTGGTGTGAACGTCCTGGAAAGCTACACTGATATTTTCAAAACAAGAACTACACTGTGGATGCAATTGCAAAAAAGACAGTACAAAATTCATCACCGTACCAAAACTCTGCACACAGCCTGGAAGGCAGTAAAAAACTTGAAATGTTAGAGGGCTAGATACAAGTCCTGTAATTCAAGATGATCTACCTACCATAAAAGAACTGAATATGAAGACATATCTGATATTTTGGAGTGTCCAGAAATGTTACAGCCAAACACTGTGAATTTGTTTTTTTGAGTAATGTATGTAGGGTCTTGTTAGACATTCCTGAAAGAAAACTTCTGAAGTCAACAATGTGTTTCTTTTGTCTCACATGAAAATAGGGTGACAGAGCCTGACTACAAAGTTCTTAACTAAAATTTTAACTTCATACAGTAATATTTAATCTATCTATATGCCTTAAAACTTGGAGTGTGAGATTAAATTTATCCCTGTGAAAAAAGTGCCTTCTGGTAGAGAACTTAAATCTTTGGTGTGCTTAAGGAATCTTTTGGTGATTCAGCAAAGAATATAATCTGGAAGTGTGCATACCAAACTACTTTAATGTACCTAAGCTTCTGTGGAAGCTTGTGATTCAGCTTTGAGAACCACTTGAAAACTCAGGTTTCAGATTATCCTGATTCATGGGATAAGGTAATAACTGGCCCATGAAGTCTGCATAAATGCTGTTGGTACTGTGTGACAACAAAGTTAGATCTAATGTCATAAAAAGACAATTTAAACAGATTTGCTGGTAACTTTTGATACTTGATGTTGAAGTGTTAGATACTTCTACTTTCTGAATGTTACACTTGCTAGTGTAACTAGGGTTCCAATGAAGAATTGTTATTTTTAATTTTTTTCAAGTGCTTCTTAAAGCCTTAATGCAATTGAGTTTTGGTTAAAAAAGCTCGAGATTTATTACACAGGAAAGACGTATCATAGGTTTTGGGAAATTGTGTTGTTTGCTAAAATTCTCTCTTTTATTTCTTTACATCCTTGCTGATAACTTCTCCCACTTTATGGAAGTCGCTCCAGATACCTTAGATTTGGTAGTGCATTGTTAGCTCATATTCTTACGCAGCCAAAATAGACAATGATCAAAACATAGGAGGACAGAATAGATAAGGACTGTTCTCTAAATTTGTACTTCATTAGCTGTTTTGTCTGTTAGCTTCTTAAAAGAATAGTTATATATGTATGAGCTTTGTCTCATTTATGCAATGTCCAGTGTTATTTTGGAGTTTCAATGAATGTATACATGAAGAGAAATAAGTAGTAATAACTCAGTAATGTTTTAAACACCATCATTGTGTTCATTAAACAAGTGTTTGTCTCCATCTTCTTTGTCTACTTTTTTTTATGGACACATCTTTCTCATGTACTATTATCTGGAAAATGTTGTAACCTTTTAGAAGAATCAAGTATTGTGGGAGCCTGAATGCCAAAATTCTCTTCTTGGAAAGCCAAAAGAAGTTAGCAATAGTAGAAGCACAACAATTTTTCTAGCAGTATTAAAAGTTCATTAGACTTACCTAGATAAGAGTCCTTTAAACCTAATATGAGGCAGTGAACTGTAAAAGAATAGTTTTAGTCCTGATCATCTGTTGGACAGCAGCTGCAGTTGGTGCCAAGTTCTGAGGAAATTTCTGCTCTATGGGTTCCGTGCACCTCTGAGGCAAGAGGCAAAATTTTGGATGTCTTGAGGTTAGCACCCTAAGTTTTTGAGCTTCTCCTGTGAATTTACATGCAATGGTTTGAATGTTAATCCAGAAAATGCTTGGAAAACATTGTTAAGTAGCGTGATGTTTGATGACAATTTCAGTAATTTGATGTTACATTAGAGCATTGAAATTACCTTGAAAAAGAGGAGTATACAGTTCTGAGAACAGCACAGAAAACTGTTTCTTTAAATATACACTGAGAAACACTGGTGACAGTACTGCAGCTGAAGTGCACACAGGTTATGTGAGGCTTCAGTGAAGAATTGATTAGACCCAGCATGTGCAGTGACGACTCTGTATTCAGTGGGGGTCAGGTGTCTGCAGCAAAGAGGAAGTAGGAGGTGAGGAACTACAGTCTGACTGAAAGAAAAGTCATTGTGGCTGGTGAGCTCAGCAATGATTGTCAGCAGTGGTAAAATTTGAAAGTGGAGCCAGCATTAATCAAAATGGTAAAGACAGCCTTGTGGAATTTCTCTTGTCGGAATTCAGCCGTTCTCTAGTTAGACATCTCAACCTCCAGTAAGTACTCTTTCAGAACAGCCAATCTTTTATAAGCACTCACTCTCTGCAACAACTTTTGCTTTTTATTTGCTGTAATTGAAGCTGGAATAGACAGCTAAGATTAGGGAAGTTATTAGCAGTCCAAACCTTTGAAGAACATTAGGAACAGGTGAAAGAGGGATTAAAAATGTAAATAAAAGCCCCAAATGTGAAAATTTTTTTCTTTAACCCAAATTTGGGGCAAACATTAGTGATTTATACCAATTACCATGCCCATTTGAACATGTTGAAGTAATGGGAAAAGAAATGTACCAAAAAGCAGTTAGGAGTGGGTAAGGACTTGTGCAGAGCAAGCACAACAAGCAGAGATGGGCTTTTTGGAACACAGAGATAAAGAGACTTGAGGCAGGTATTTTGGAGGTTCAGTTAACATTTAGTGCCAGTATCCCAGGTGAAAAGAAATGACAAGGGGAAGGAAGGAAGGAAAAATCATAAAATGTCAAATCTTTAATTCATTTTCACTTTCAATGAACTTGATGGTCAGGGAAGTGGGTGAGCAAGTCCATGGAGCAGTGTATAACATTGACTGTAAACAGAATTATGGAAATAGTAGAATTAAAGTTTAGTAAATGTAGAAATGAGAAGAGAATCATCACTATAAAAGAATCCCAGGTTTCCTGAGGAGTAGTATTTCCATATGGAAGTAAACCATTTTTTTTTTAACCTAAATAATTTAGTAGAAGCCCAGGAGAGACAATAGTATACTTATTCAAAAGTCTAAATGAAAAAGAAAACCAGGAGAGGGAGAAAACAATTGCAGGAATGAGAGAATTACAGAATAGTTGAGTTGGAAAAGACCTTTAAAAGGCTACATAGTCCCAACACCCCTGCAGTGAGCAAGGACTTCTTCAATGAGATCAGATTGCTTGGAGTCCCATCCAACCTGACCTTTCAAATGTACCTATTGTAACCTCTCCGGGCAGCATGTTCCAGTGTTTCACCCTCATTCTAAAAGACTTCTTTCTTCGAACAAATCTAAGTTGACCTTTTTGATATTTAATCTTAAGTTGACCCTCCAATTTAAAAACATTTCTCCCTGTCCTATCACAACAGGCCCTGCTGTAGGAAGGCGGTAGTTGCTGTATTTGACAAGATTTGACCCCTTTTTCTTTTTTGAAGGAGAGAAAAATGAGCAGAAAATGGTGCTTTGATAGTCAAGCAGCGTGCAGCAGGTCAGAATAGATGGGCTTTTCTGTACGTGAGCCAGCTGTTGTTCTTAATCAGTGTTAGGTGGGTTTGAGATTTAAATTTAGAGTGAATTATACTTGGGTTTTTTTTTTTTTTTTTTCCTACTGGTATTTCAGTCTTTTGGTGGCTTTGGAAGTTGCATCTGCCTTAAAGGTGTGAATTCACAGCTTTTCTGAACTGATTAAATCTACACCATTTTGGCAACACTCTGCATTTTATTTTCTTCCCACTCCCTTCTAAGAATAAAACTTACATGCTCTTTTGCCCCACTGAGGTGATCTGCAAGAGGAACTGTGGATCAGCATCAGTGGAAAGTCCAAGTGACAAATAAAACAAAAATGGAGGGAGGATGGGGATAATGCAGTGCTGTAAGGCTTCTGACCTTGTGTGCCTGGCGCATAAGCACTGCTGCTGCTACCTGCACCGAGAAGAGGGAAGAGAAATACCTGCTCTTCCAGGGCCACCTGATGCTTAGTGTGAGGTGATCTTGAAGCTGCAGCTTTAATTTCTCCCAATTTAAAGCTGGTTATACTGTTAGAAACGAGCCTGTCTATGTATAACCTTTAAATACATGAAAATTACAGCTGAGAGCTTAATTTTTTATGCTGCCAGAGGATGGTACTACACTGTTCAAATACAGAGAAGAAATGAAACATTTTGTTATTTTTAAAATTTGAACTAATTGGCCTGTTAATACTTTTTTGGAGTCACAGAAACTACAGTTGGACTTTGTTTTGTTTTGTTTTGTTTATTTAAGCCATCAGAGCCTTGTGCATAACTGCACTGTTGTGTATGATTTTATGTATTAATGTTTTATGTTGCATATATTATAACTTCCTCTTCCTCTTCTGGCTATATTGTTAAGTTGACTTACTTTGGATCCCTGAGCATCTGCTCAAGTCTGCTTTAGGATGGAGATTGCAAACAATATTGAGGCGAGCTGTAGTGCAAACAATTACTTGCTTACTTGAAGATGTGAAATTGAGGCTACCGCTGTTCAGACAGTAACTTATAGCATGGCAGATAAAATGCAGTAGAATCTGTTCTGGAGAAAAACATTATCTGCCTTAGTGATGCCTCACTAAATTAACATGCAGATTCATGAAAGATATATTACTTAAATGTTTGAGTTTCTAAGTTACCTGTTAACTAAATTTTGGGGGAGTCCTCTTTTTTTGAGGGAAATTGTTTATAAACCATGGAGAAACTTGGATGAACTAAAGAATTGGAATCTAAAATTGCTGCCAAACTACTAAAATAATGGAAATATAAAAAACATTTATGCTCATTTGATGCCTAGAAAAGTGATTCTTTTGATGACTTTTTAAAACTTTTGATTCTCTTTTAAAACAAGAAACAGCCTGGTAGACCTCAGAAATGGAAAAAATGGCTTGTGTTTGTCCTCAGTTCAACAGAGTCATTGAGTAAGGAGCCGAACACTTTCTGCTCTTGTTTTGCAGAATGCTTCAATGAAATGAACTAAAATTTATGCACAAAATTCTTTTTTTGATGACTCTTTAGAAGTGAGCAAGTTTGTTTTTTACATAGTGACAAATTAATAAAACAAAGCAGATTTATTCTGGATGCTAGCCCTCAGTAAACAATTGCAGAACAAGGTAGCTTAACTGTTGTTCGTGAGCGAGACTTAACTGTATAGTGATACTGAATCCTCAGTACTCTTAAAAATGTAGTCTTTTAAAATGTAGCAATGATTTTTTCCCAAGGCCTGTTTAAAAATGTGAAAATCTTCTTTGCATTAAGGCTGTACGGTGTGACTGTTGTAAGTCTCAAGGAGCCCTCAAAGAGAAGGTGCAGTGGCGCGGCGAGATGAAGCATTTCTGCGATCAGCACTGTTTGCTCCGCTTCTACTGTCAGCAGAACGAACCCAATCTGGCCACCCAGAAAGGACCTGAGAACCTGCACTATGGTAGGTGCTGCTTCAGGGCTAGACAAGTGCCAAGCCAGATGCTTTCTTTAAATGAAAAATTGAAAGCTGCATGAATTATTTATTTGTCATAATAAACTGCATTAGGTGTTCTCGTTTTCTGTGTTATAATCAGAGGCAGCATTGAGCTGTTCTGGGTTAAGTGTAATTTTAGTGCTGTATCATCATGGGAACAGAGAATGTTTTCCTCTTTTGTTGTGCTTCAGTTTGTCATTACTTGCTCTGTGGAAACATTTAAAGTGCCTTTTGGTCACAGAGAACAGATGCACTAGGAATGAAAAAAAAACTATGGCATTAAAGGAAAATAAGTGAAATGAGAATGAGAATACAATGAAAGTATCTAGATAAGAGGAATACATTGCCTTTATTTTTTTTTTCTTTCTGTTGGCACTAGGTACTTTTTAAATTTGCTGTTGGCCACTGAATACATTGCCTTTATTTTTTTTTTCTTTCTGTTGGCACTAGGTACTTTTTAAATTTGCTGTTGGTCACTGAATACATTTGTGTGGTTTAAATGTCAAGTCACGCAAAGTTCAAATAAACCAGCTTCTAAATTAATGCAATTATAGCAACTCAGCTTCTTTTTAAAACTGTTCTCATACTTGAACATTTTGGTGTTCACTTTTCTGAAAGAGGCTGTATTCACATCTGGCTATAGCATTGATTTATCATTTGCGTTTGTGTAAAGCTCAATACTGGAATATTGAGAGAGATCAGTAGGGAGATGTCTATGAAGGAAAAGTCTTGTGTACAGTTCTCACCTGCAATATGGTACTAATGAGTTCTCTTGATTTAATGTTATATTGGTGACAGGTGTTATCTTGAGTTGTTTACTGAAATTTACTTTGATTTTGAGAAAGGAAAAAAAAAAAAAATTCTAAAATTGTTTCCTTGTACTTTTAGATCAGGGCTGTCAAACCCCCCGGACAAAAATGACAGTAAGTACATATATTTAACACAGTCTTATGTCTAACTCTCTCTCCCTGTCTCTTTCTCTCTCTGTCTCTCTCTCTCACTATATATATATAAAAAAAAAATTATTAGATGTACTTAAAATGTGATATCCTGGTGAATTAGAGGGATGCTATTAAAAACCAAAAATTAGTGTCTTTGAATGATCCTGAGCTAAATTTATGAAGCTTTTTAGTCTCTTTAACATCTGTAGGTGAAATAAAAATTTCAAATATTCATACTTTCTTTTCAATGTCTTCTGGGAAACTAAATCATCAACTATGTGTTTTACATCTGTAGTGCATGTAAATGTTGCTTAAAAGTTGATCAGCACACTGTGTTTCTTATTCACATGTTTAGACTGATTAGGTGTATTTATTGACTATAGAAAAGGAAGAGAATTTCGCTGTCCAGTTGGAATATTAAAGTGGAAGCTCAGCTTTAAAAAGTTAAAAATAAATCTTTAGTTCTTAAATTTTATTTTTCCCAAGAGAAGAATTCTGTAGGTGTTCAAGGTCTGATTGACTTTGCTGCACAGTAGGGAAGCAGGGCCTTTTGCAGGATGGCTGTCTGGAAGGCTGGGGCTCATCAGTGGAGTTACATTCTGAGTTACAGTATTTCTCAGCTCATCAAATATACTACTATTGATATTGTTTTCGGTGAGGTTTGTGTATTTTGTTTGAAACTTAGTTTTGTTTTGATTTGTTTGTCACATGGAAGGTCTGAGAGAATTGCATTTTAAATGCAAATAGGCATCAAAGATAAATCTTAGATTTGAGTGAAAAAGTTAAAAGTTTTTGATGACAATATAAATATATTTATGAAAAACGGAAAATTGCTTAGGTAACTAGAGACTTCAGACAAGCTAAGCTGTCATATGGAAAACATTTAGTATTTTATGTTTAATGATGTTAATTCAGTCATTTAAAGATTGTGTCAAAGCTATGTGTGATACAGTATTTTTTAGTATATTTTAGGGATTGTATATCTAGTAGAGCATATTGCTGATCTTGGGACTGGGCTTTCTTTCCCTATCTAAAAGGACATATGGGGCTAGTCTTCCTATATATGACCAAATGAAACTGAGAGTTTGTTTCTCAAATCAGGTTCTAAAAGAGGTACTAGGGTACAAAAGCCATGTACGGAATGAGAGGGTTTTTTTTACCTCTTGACCATAAGGATGCAGTTTGAGCCTTCTGGGATGTTCCCAGGTTGTTTTCACTATTGCAGAGCCAGCAGGGGGAGCTCGAAGTTCATCCTTTAGGTTATAAAAAAGTATTTAGAGAATTTTTACTCAGAAATACTTTTTTTTTTTTTTTTTTAATAAAAGTCATCTTTGGACTATGGCATAATTCAAGAAGGTTAGATCTTGACCCTGAAGTTTGTTCATGCTGCTTATAATGAACTTTTTTTACAGCTAAAATTATTTTTTGTTATAAAATTGCTTTAATGGTGCTTTCACTTAAACAAGCACATAAAAAAAATCTTTAGGGTACTTTTATTTAAAAAAAAAAAAAAAAAGGAAAATGAGCCATAAATGCTAGACCTCCTGTTATGCTTCTGGCAGTGGCAGCTCAATACTAGGAACACAGAATAGCTTGCAATTTTAGGAAAGTAGTTGGTGCTGTTTTTGTGCTTCTGTGAGCTTCCTCTTCAGTATCTCCTTTATGAAAAATATCAGCTGATACATTTAGTCAAGAACTTTGTGTTGGAATCAGTGTGGTGCAACAGCACCTTCTCTTATTTACTTGTCTGCAGGGCTCAGCTCCACCACCTTCTCCAACACCTAACAGAGAAATGAAGAACAAGGCAGTTCTTTGCAAGCCTTTGACAATGACAAAAGCCACATACTGTAAACCTCATATGCAGACAAAATCTTGTCAGACAGGTAACTTCTGAACTGTGCTAGAACTGATTTCCTCATTGTAGCATTTTCTTAACTATTACTGTGTTTTAATATATTGCAAATATTCTGATTTTTTTCCACTAAATGGCAGGTGTAAAATATATTTAAATACCTGGCATTGTTTTTCCTTTTTCTCTTACTAGAAGACGAATGGAAAAAAGAGTATATCCCAGTGCCTATTCCTGTACCTGTCTACGTTCCAGTGCCTATGAACTTGTATAGTCAAAATGTTCCTATTCCTACCACGGTTCCTGTTCCTGTAAGTGAGACTTCAGCTTCATTTTAAAATTGGCATCCCTTCACATGCGTGTGTGGGACCACCTTGTGTGGCTGATTGTCCTCCTTCTTGGCCATCTAAAGGATTGCAGGGTGCTGCGGGGCTATTTATTGAAAGAGCATTAGAATCTGACACTGGCACTTGATTCCCTGACTGTTCTTTTGGACCTGTCTGCCTGCTTCCAATGGGAAAATCTTGTGCCACTGGACGTTTTAGGAACAGTTCTGAGTAAAACTTCTGCTTTTGCTGAATATGCGGAATAAGCCTTTAACAGCAAGGTTTGTTCTTGTAATAAGGAAGCTGAAAACGAGTTGGGAAAGGATGGCAGAGTGGGATAAACAGCAGGACAAAACAAGCCACTGAAACAAGATGCTCATTTGTCCAAACTGTTAATCTGAGTTTATGATCAGACAGGTTTGGAGTTCCAAAGACCCTTCTTTCTTTTACCAGCTATATTTTGTCTTTTTTTTTTTTTTTTCCTGTGTCCTTTCCTGCTATCCCTTCTGTTCATAGCTCTATGTTGGGTTTTTAACCGGTCAGCATTTTTTGTTAGCTCACACTAGAGTGGCTTGTCTCTAATCTGTATCAACTCTGTCTTTCAGAAGAAGAGTATAGATTTTTTTTTAGTTGTTGGTTGCTTTGTTGTGGCATTTTTTCTTTTCTAATTATCTCTTCCTCCCTGTCTGCACAGGTGCCAGTTCCAGTTTTTTTGCCCACTACTCTGGATAGCACTGAGAAAATCCTTGCAGCAATAGAAGAGCTGAAGGGAAATGTGCCCTCAGATCCTCTGGAAGCTGAGCTACTGAACCTGTCAGGGGTGGTACCTGAACATGTTGGAAAAGCTGAAACTTCTGATGTGGCCAGTGAGTTTCCTGATGAGTTATTGACTGTTTGGAGTGCTGGGGGATGTGTGTGGCAAGAAGGGTTTGGTTTGGTTTTCTTTTTTAAGCAAAGTGTGAGTACAACAGTGATGTCATTGAGGTCTTATATTAAATTGCATCATACTTTAATCAGATGGCAACTAAATACCACACAGCCGCTTTATTTCTCAACCTCATGCCTGGTGGGTAAGAGACTTGAGGAGAAAAGTAAAGCTTGTGAGTCAAGAACTGTTTTATAATTGAAACAAAATAAAGTATGATACTAACTATACTAGTAAATACAATTAAAAGAGGGGAGAGAGAAGGATAAAACACAAGAAAACTAAGTGATGCATGATACAGGTGCTCTTCACCCACTGACCCAAGCCCAGCCTGTTCCTGAGCAGCAATTGGTGGTTTCCAGCCAACTTCCCCCAGTTATATACTGAGCATTGTGTGGTGTGGGATACCCCTTTGGACACTTCAGCTCACCTGTTCTGGACGTGCTTCCTCTCAGCTTCTTGTGCACCCTGGCAAAACATGGGAAACTGAAAAGCCCATGATTTAGAGTAAGCACTAGTTGGCAACAACCAACATATTATTCTCATAATAAAAATTTATAAAAGTCTCACATACTTTGTAGTTTTAGTTTCTCAGCGCCCATGCCCCTTTGCTTTTCTTTCCTGGCTCTGCTTGCCCAAATCTTCAAGTCTTTTCTGTATCTTTCTAGGAAAATTTGCCTTTACTCAGATGAAATTTTGAAGGTTTCTTTCCAAGCGCTTTCAACAGATTTCTGAAAGGTTGTTGACAAATTACATGAACTTAGACTTTGTGCCTCGTTATGTAGGAGGCCAGTGGAGCTGCAGTCCTGGGAGGCTTACTGTATTCTGATGTATTGCCATTCTTCTACTAAAACGGCACATTTCTGGTAGCACTTGAAAGGTTAACAGTTTATTGCTCACTTCTGTGAAGTACAGCTAGCTAAATGATCAGATGTATGGGATCAGAGCTTGCTCACTTACAGAGGACTGAATTTGGAGCAGTCAGTGTTTTCCAGAAGTTGGAGAGAGTTCCAGCTTTGTTTCTCCCTGCCTGCATGCCTTATTTGAGAAACAGACCCTACAAAAGCAGACTTGAAAGTCTGTTCTATTGTGACAAGATCAGGTAGGAAAATAGACAGTAGGTTTTGTCAAGATTGTTTGAGTTCTGGGATTGGTTGATATGACCCAGGTTCACCAGTATTTGATTTTCTATACATGTGCTTTGCTGACTCACCTTTGTGGCAAGCACATCTCTCTCCCTCTCAGGATTTTTCATGGAGGTGCACAGAGAGAAATGAAAGAGAAAACAATTTTTGTTTCTGCTCCTTGTTTTTCCTATGTGGAATGTGTTTGGAGAATTGTTTACCTGGAGTGAGTGCTTGATTGGATTCTGGTGAGGATTGTTTGATCCTGATGGCCAATCCAATCCACCTGTGTCTGGACTCTTGCAAGAGGGTCACAAGTTGTGTTGGAGTTAGAGTCAGAGAAAGTAGTATGTAGTTTTAGTATCCTCCTTTTATATAGTATATTAATGTATTTTAGCATAGTTATAATAAGGAAATAATTCAGCCTTCTGAATTGAGTCAGACATTGTCATTTCTTCCCATTGGATTTGCCTGCATTTACAATACACCTTCATGGAGAACAATGGGCTGGTAAGTATCTTTTATGTTTGGAGAAGTACATCTGAGATCCCAAGAACAAGAAAATGTAGGATGGTAGTGAGCAGAACAATCAGTTTTAGAACAACTCAGCTTCTAAAGCTGTAGATCTGAACCATTTGGCTAATCCATGTGTTGGCTAAAATACTGTCTTTTTTTCCTTTTCTTTTAAACAGGTGTAATAGTTGACTCAAATCTCCTAAACTCAGAGTCACAGACAAGCTTGCCTGATGTTCCATATGAGCCAGATCTTGATATTGAAATAGACTTTCCAAGAGGTAATTTTTCTGTGATTTTAATAAATACTGTGACACTGTGGGCAGCCGTTGCACCTTGTTTAATCATCCTTTCAGAGAAGCTTTATTGATTGCAGGATCCACCTGACTTGACTGTTAGGTAAAATTTTGCCATGCCTTTTTAAAATGGGAGACTTCTGAATTAGTTCTTCCATCTTTCTAAATAGAGTATTTGAAACAATGCCAAGAAAAGGGGAAGTTAACCATTCGCAAAGAACTTGGCTGCATCATTTGTTTTTGAACATGGATTTAGGAAAATTATTTTAAAGGCTCAAGGACTCAGATGGCATGTGTCATGGAAAACATAATGAATACATTCTTCAATCACCAGGTATTTTCATGGTTTAGAGAAATTACTAAAGAGTCAACTTCCCACTCAAGTTTGTTAAAAAATTGGCATGCAAGTTGGCGTGCTGCACACCACTTTTTATGTCTTGGTAATGTCCGTATCTGCATTTGAAGCAGTTACTTGAATTAGCAGGAAAAAAAAAATCACTGCTTGAGACCTTTCTTGAAAGAAACTCTTGATGCTATCTAGTACAATTTCTACCACCATACAGAATGTAGGGAACAGTGTCTGTTTCTTACTCCATACCCCAGTCAATCCAAGATCCAAGAAAGCTTCTGGCTGTCGTTACTGTTCCTGTTAATAGCTTCTGTTGGACACATGACTCTCATGCCTCAGCTGGGCAGGTTCTGTAGGAGCTGACAGGCTCCTTTTGGGCTGTGTTGTAGATACCTGCAGTAGATGCCCAGTTTGTTCTATGCCTAATTTAAAGAGAAAGCCTGGGGGTTAGTCTGATATAATATTGGGAAGTTTACTAGTCAGATGCATATTAGGTTTTTAACCCTCCTTTTTTAACTAAGACTGGGTACTTGGGAAAGAAAAACCATGGAAGAAAATAAATAAGCAAGTTGGAGCAAGTAGTAGCACTCTGTAGGAGGCATTGATTACACTGAAGTGCTTCTGAGATAAGATTCTTTGTGGTATCAGGAGAAGGACTGCTTTTGAGTCTGGGGCAGAGTTCTGAAATCTGCATGTAAGTGCTATTTCATCTGCACCAGCTGAAAAGCTGTCATGAGAAATAAGGTGGTGAAATCAGATTATCAAAGAGCATTCAATTTTGAGTGAAAACATTCTCTGATGGCTAAATGAGGGATGAACCATCTTCAATTAAGTAAATAAAGGTGGGACTTGTAACACTAAATCCATTCATACGTTGTCTCATTCCTCAACATTGCCTGAAATAGAGTCCTCAATCTTAGTCCTGAAATGTTAAATAAACAGTATTTTGAGCTGTTGCCATCCATCTGCTTACCAAACTTGACTGTAATATCCATCATGAGCTAGACCTCCACCACTTGTATAAATATAGACTAAAACCAGTTTCACTGAAGGAGCTTGCCTTCTGATTCTTAATCTTTTTAACCAAGTGTAATGTACTACAAGAAGTAACAAAACATAAATATAGATAATCTAAATACAACAAAACTACGTGTACTAAGTTAATTTATATTTTTTCCAGTCATAGCTGCTCATTCTCACCATACCGAAAAATTTTTGATATCAAAGACAGCCCAGGCAGAAAACATTATTTAAGAATCTACAGTAAGAAATTCTGCCTTAGCAACTTCAGATAAATAGTTTGACAGCTTTGTCTTAGTTTGAATACAAAAATAGATTTATTTCCTCTTAGCAAAATCCAGTGTTTGGTTTTATTTATTTGTGTGCCTTTGTGGATACCTTATGATAAGGCACACTGATATAGTTAATTGTTTTTTGTTTTTTTTTTTCAAAGCAGTGTTATTTAAAAGACACTTAGAAATAAGTTTCTGTTAATGTATTTTCAGCAACTGAGGAGCTTGATACAGAAAATGAGTTTTTGTTACCTCCTGTTTTTGGTGAAGAATATGAGGAGCAGCCAAGGCCTCGGCCCAAAAAGAAGGTAATTTTTTCATGCTATTAAAAATATCAAAAAAAGCACAAAAACATATGTAGGAAAAAATAACTTTTTTTAAAGTTCTGGTAATGATTTACAGCATATTACTGTCTACTCATATCTAATATCTTATCTTTATGACATAAATTGATACATTTCAAGTAGTAAAATTATTTCAGTGGTATGTCTGTTGCAGATAGCTGTTAAATGTGATAGGAGTGTGATTTGTAAATTCTGATCCTGTTTTTGCTTCACAGTGGCAGAACAGTTGATGTAAAGTGCCAGTGTATATACCTACTGTATTCTTAGCAATGCTATTTTACCTTTTACTTTGAACAAAGGTGTCTTGGTTTAATTTGATAGTAAGATGGAAAAACATTGGCATTACTAAGGTTTATAATGGGAGCCATAGCATTTCCGTTATAAAAGAGTTTAAATTTTTTTTTAGTTTGCTTGTAATTTTCACAGATTTTAATTTTAGTCTATCTTAGTTTAGATATTAGATACAAATTAGCCATAGTATTTTATTTAGAAGGACACTACCAAGAAATAGTTTCCTATGTCTGGCACAAAGCTGAAATGGTGTTGTTCCAGTAACTGCAGTAGATATTGCAGCTTTAAAAAAAACAGCCAACTTCTAATAAAGCTTTCGAATAATAAATGGGACTTTTTGGTATCAAATCTGGAGTCTAAGTTTTTGATGTTATGCACTGGACATTATTACATACCCACTGCTGGGCATGCCTTAATCTGGAACCAGTGCTGCTTTTCCATTGGCAAAGGGTTCATTTGAGCCTACGGGTGGAGCTGTGACACAGATTGGCCACATCTTCAGCTCCCCTTGCATTAACACGATGGAGTTCTGTGGGTGCAGTGAGGCTCAGAGCGCACTTTGCCCCCAGCTGGCTGTGCCAGCTTCTGTGTCCCTGCTGGTGGGAGTGCTGGTGGCCTTACCCACTGTGTTCCCATGGCAGGGCATGAAGAGGAAAGCCGTGTCGGAGTACCAGGCGCACGATGACAGCTCTGAGAACTCCGAGTGCAGCTTTCCATTCAAATACGCCTACGGGGTAAACGCATGGAAGCACTGGGTAAAGTCACGGCATTTAGAGGAAGAGCTTCCAGAGTTAGAGGAACTGAAATCAAGTAAGTATTTCCAAAAATCTGGTGTCCAGCTTCTGACCTGCTTGGAAAAATTGCCATGCTTGTGTGATTCTCAGCTGGAATTTTTGATAGAATTTTTCTCACGTGCTTAATGTTTCCAGCATGACTGAGGTTATTTCACCACAGAGTTGCCAAACTCCTTTTTTTTTTTTTTTCCAAGTTTTTCCTGTTTGGTTCCAAATGCTGGGTCTCACACTTCTCATGAAAGCTAGGACAGCACCTTCTTAGCTATTCTGATTTTCTGTGGCCATTTTAATTTTTTGTTTGCATCCTATTTTTCCTCATATTCCAACTCACTTCAGAGTTCACACTGTTTCTGGGCTTCTAAATGGCAAGGGAGGGACACCCTCCTACTCTTTGTCCTGTAAGGAGATCTTCCTCTGAGGCTGGCATTACGTGGCTGTGGAGCTCTGGCACAAGGTGGCCTTTGATCCCCTGGAGCCATGCTGCTCTTTCTGCAGCTCTCCTCTCTGTACACATTTGTATTGTGGGGAAAAGGGGGAATTGCTGCTACTCCTGCTGTTCTTCAGCTCCCACATGCATCTCAGCACCCTTGTGTTGTGCTCTTGGGTCTTCGGAAACTGCTGTTTCCCCTGAAGGTGCCCCTCTACACCAGTGGCTTCACTTCAGCATCTTGGGCTGTCTCTGTGTCATCCTGAGCTGTGCATGACAGTACATTTGTTAGCAGGTGTTACTGCATTTGGTTAACTAGATTTTACTGTGGGAGCCTTGATTGTTTAAATACAGACCTAACATTTCAACTGCTTAGTAAATTTTAGTTTCATTCATTGGTCAATGGAGAGGACATCAAGGCAGTTTCCCAGTTTCCAGTCAAAAAGTACCCCATCCCACCTTCACTGTGTGACAATTCTGTTGTATAATGTAGCATTTCTTCTCTATTTTACAGTAAAGTCTGTGAAATTAAAGGAAGATCTATTATCACATACTTCAGCTGAGTTAAACTATGGGTTGACACATTTTGTCAATGAAATTCGAAGGCCTAATGGAGAGAACTATGCACCTGACAGCATCTATTATCTGTGTCTTGGAATTCAGGAGGTTAGTAGAGGCTGTAGAAATGGGAAATGGAGCTGCTGATTTGACTGTAACCCATTTCAGTAGAAGAGTGGAGATGACATGGATTTATTGGCTAGGAGCTACACTTTATACATGGCTGTGGTCAGGCTGCTGTGTAATTTCATTGTAGAAAGCTGCCCATGTAGGAAATGAGTTTGCAGACCCATCCTGAAAACTCAAACACGATTGGTATATTGTAATAATTTTAAGCTTCTTGCTGGGTTAAAGCAAGTCATTAACCCAGTCAAAAGCTACATAGTCTTCTCAAATGCTGTGTTCATTTTGTTTTCTAAAGATGTCCAATGTAAAAACAGAATGAAACAAGGCATGATCTCTAAGCCTTTTATTCAGTTACTTAGCGTATAGAGGAAACAACCTAAATTAAGTGTCTTTTGGGGAGGGTCTAATTTACTGAGTATTGCAGACTGTGGACAGGCAGGATAGAGTGCAGGGTACTCTGCTATATTGACTGTCTTACACACAGTACGATAGGAAGGAGTCAGGTTGGATGTAATGGATGTGAAGGCAATAACCAGTCACTAGGTAATTAGAGAAGCTGTTCCACAGCTGATCTTTTAAGCAGGGAGGGCTGTCTTAATTTTTGCTACATAAGGCAAAACACAGGCAAAATAAGCAGTGTTCAGAGCTGAGAGCCCATAAAATATCATTCAAGTTAAAAGGCAATAGAACATGTGTGTGATGTGGAAAACAAGCTGCTCACAGGGTTTGCAGTTCTACCTAAACTGTTCCATACTTGAGGCAGAGGACTTGAATCAAGTAACACATGTCTTAATTGAAATATTTTAAAAATAAGTAATAAAATAGTTATTTTCCTTTGTTGCAAGTATGCAAAAATAAAGAGTTAGTTGCTATCTTTGCCTCTTTGTTGAAACTTGAGAAGCAAACACTGATTTTAGTCAGTGGCTTTTTAGTCAATATTGCTACAAGGTGTGTTTCAAATTCAGCTAGCTTTCTGCTTCTGCACTTGCATGATACACTGTCTCTCTGTACCTTTCTGTTGAATTGAAAATACTCATATTAAGCAGATAAACAATACACAGAGGGAAGTATGTGTTTATAAATGGAACTCCAATGATATTTTTTAATCTTTCTCTTTGTACCTTTGACATTGTCCATTTTGTCATTCATGAAAGCTAATTGTGTATAAAACATCTTTTTTTCATCTCTTCAGAACCACAGTTTGTGTGGCAGCCACAATTATCATGAGGCCTAATGCATATACACAATGCTGGAACATTTTACTGTAAATTTACTGCTTGTACTTCATGTCCAGTATTTAATTCAGGCAGAGTGAACAGCCCTGATTTGTTGGCCAGACTGGTAGGAAGAGGTGTTGTGTTCTAATGAGGTTGCATTTCAGAAAGACAAGACAGCAAGCGAGGGACAGAAACATGAGCTGTGAAGGGCTGCAGCCATCATCTGTGTGTGAATGGCAAATATTTGGGGGTGTACCACCCTTCTGAAGGAACATGTTTTAGCAAGCTAGTGGTACGCTAAATGCAATACAGTTGTCACAATGCACAGTAAAACTCCATTGCCTTCTACAATTTGCTTAGTCCTTTACACCTTACAGCCCTGACCCTGAAAGGGAGTAAATTGTCTGTTACTTCATAAAAGGTATTGGCTTTGTTGAACTTGAAAGGGGCTTGGATGAGATTAAGTTATGCCATTTAAGGATACCGTTGGGCCAAAGATCATTAATATTTTACTCTCTTAGAATAAATTTCTCTTCAAAGGAAGAGAATGTAGGAACCATAGGCTAGTAAAAAAGTACATTTTCCTTCCAGCAGCATTATTGCACTAGAATACACACTCAGTTTGGAGCTTTTCATCATGGATAGAGTGTGGTTTGAGCCCTGGCGTCTTCAAGTCCCAAGTTGGTTGTTTTCTTTTTTAAGTTTGTAAAACAGCTTTTTCCTAAAGGAAGCACTGTAAAATCTGTTCAAGGAAACCAGTCCCTGAGTGAGATAGTGCAGTTTCTCTGTTCAAGTTCATTTGCAGTTGAAATTGTTCTGCTTTCAGACAGAAGTGGTTCAGTAATGGTTTTGATAACTCTAAAGTTATCAGTCTGATCCTGAAGGATATCAGACTTAGAAATAAAGGCATGGTCAGGCAGGCATCTAGTGGAGAGGGTTCATCTAGAGGAAGGTGTTAGCTTGCAGTGCTCCTTTGTTCCATCATGGCCTTCGTTCTTTGTCCCTAATTGGGATTACTGGGATTTGGTTTGGGTTTTTTTTCCTTGCCTTTTGTATGTCTGGTTATGGGATTGTTTGGGCAGGCTGATAGAGTTCGGCAGATGTTTGTCTGAGGGTCAGACAAACAAAATCACTATGGACAGTGACTCAGCCTGTTGTCCTCCACTGTGGGGTTCAGAGGCACATCCAGTTCCTTCCCATGCACTGCAGTTACAGTAGAACTCATCTCAGGTGGGAATGGCTTGTGCTCATCCTGCCCCCGTAGGGTTTGTAGAGCAGCAGAGCAAGGTCGTTTGGGAATGAAGGTTTTGCAGGTTTGGGTGGTAGGTTGGAGTTTGCGCAACGTCATCCTTCTGTAGATTCTGCGGTGCTCTGGGGAGCTTCAGACTTCTACTGGTGATGCCAGGGTTTAGCCAACACTGTCTCTGAAACAGGAAGAAGTATTTTTAGCTGAGTTCTCACAGGCTTGTGTGTGGATAGGTTTTGAACCAGTTTTCAGTCTTCATTTTCACTGCCAGCATTCAGTGTGAGTGTTTAATGCAAACCAGAGAAAAATACGTGGTAGAAAAATGTGCCAGGGGATGTAACGGTGAACGCCATGAAGCTTACAGTAAGCTGTATTATCTGGCTTAGAATTGCTTTATGAAATCAAAACTGGTGTATGTAGAAACAAGCACATGTGGGGGAATATTGTGCTTTGAGGAATTAGTTAAAACTTATCATATAAAATAGTTATCTAAATGAAAATTATGTTGAAAACCTGTAGGAAGTGTATTCATTCATTTGCCCTTATTATAAAATTAAATGCTAAGATAAGGAGGCCAGGATGTACTGAACCCTGATCACCTGTAAGTGTTGTGGGTAATGTGATTTCAAGCATGGGTACAGAAATAGATGCCATTTCAAGAAGCAAATGCGTTTTTGCTGTCACTTTTATTGTATTCACTAACAGACATGTTCTTGCAAAGATAATTCTGAAGTGAAAAATTTAAGAAGGCAATACTCCCTTTCTTAGAAATGTCTCCAGAGAGGATAATGTCAAATAGTAGTTCTCAGCCATTAATTCTTGGTAAAGGTTCAAAAGAATTTCTGTCTGTAAGGTCAAGAGGGGTAAGATAATTAGATTGCAGAATAGGCCAACACCTTGCACCATCCTATCATCTTTCTTGTATTGCTGTAAATTATTACCACAAATATATAGGTGGCTTTTTTTCACCCACTTTCGATTGAAGATGGTTTTGTCACTGTCTGGGGTTCACATTTAAAAGGGCAGACTCCTGCTAAATGTGGATTGGTTTTGGTGTTTGTTTTTTTTTTTTTAAGGCCTAGATGGAGGAAAAGATAAATTAGTTGTTTGTGGTTTGGGGTTTTTTCAGTGACTCCCCTGACTTCACTGATACAATGTTGCACACAGGAAATTGTAGAGAAAAATTTTAGTTATAATTAAACTATTATTCATATCCAGTTAGAAATTTACAACATACAATTATATTGAAAGTAACTGTTACCTGTTAGATTTTGGAAAAGTGGCATAGCTTTATTTTTAGATTCTGCTTTTCAGTACAGTGCTTGTGCAGTTATGAAAAAATAGAACCCTGTAGCACAGGAGCTGTTCTAATCTGGAATTGTAAATACTGTGTCTCTCTCTTTTCTGTAGTATTTATATAGGAGTAATCGGAAAGACAACATATTTATCGATCCGGTCTACCAGACATTTGAACAGGAATTAAATAAAATCCTTCGAAGCTGGCAACCAAGTATACTTCCAGATGGTAATTTTCTTTTTGGTCATGTATGTTTTTCATCTTTTAAAAGTTATGTATTCTTACGCATGCATATATATATATATGTATTTATATGTTATTAATTGCAATAGCAGTTGATGAAGAATTACAGACATGTCTTCTAAGATTTAATTTAAAACTGTACTTGATTTTATTTGTCTTGTTTCTGGGTAATCCATGCTACAAAAGTTGTTTTTGCCACTGACTGTTCAAATTGACTATCCATCTTTAGGAGAGAAAGTTAAAAAATGTTTTGACCTGTACCTGAGCTGAACTTACTTTTTTTCCCATTTTTTTCCCCTAGATGGTAGCAGGCAGGCAGGCACTGCACTAATATGTAGGTAGGGCTAACAAGGGATGTATTCTAGAAGTTCTCACCTGGATTAGGAGGACTCTTTGCTAGGAGTCTTCTGCTTAGAAGGATCATCAGTTCATGGAGAAAGGAAATTTTTCCCAGCAGAACCATCTTGCTGAACTGCAGAATTGGCTGTTCTTCTATCTTTTTCACAATCCTCACTTGAGTGAAGGCTTGTCCTTGCCAGACTCTTTCCTTTCTTTTCTCAATATTGGCTTCTCTCAGTACAGCCCAGAGAGCCTCTGTGCTGGACCCTTCCTGCATCCTGTTATGGTCCAGGAATGCCTTCCAAGTGAGATATCTATTAGTAATAGGAAAGAAGAAGGTGCAATGTTTGGAGGCCTTAACCTGAGCGGAATAAAATGAACTCAAAAATATGCCTTTTGTGATGGAATTAAGGTTACTCCATTGAACATTGATTTCTGTGAAATAGCATGAGAGAGCTGCATGTGAGAAATGCTGTTGTAACTAAACAGAAATGTGTTCTCTGTAAAATTGCCTGTACTGAGATTTCCCATTGGCTGTCTGAGTGTCTTTAATAGGTGGGTTTGGGGAGTGTGGACATGAAAATAAATAAGTTTATCAGCAGCTTCTCTCATGATCATTTTGTTGCATTTCACAGTAAAAAAACACTTGATTTTTTTTTTTTCATCTTGACAGTTCATGGGCTAATCCATTGTATCTTTTCTACTATGCTTTTTTTCCAAGGATCAATATTCTCTCGAGTTGAAGAAGATTACCTTTGGAGGATTAAACAGCTAGGATCACATTCACCTGTTGCTCTTTTGAATACACTCTTCTACTTTAATACTAAATATTTTGGTCTGAAAACAGTGGAGCAGCATTTAAGACTTTCTTTTGGCACTGTTTTTAGACAGTGGAAGAAAAATCCTCTAACAATGGAAAGTAAAGCTTGTCTTCGATATCAAGTGTCTTCCCTGTGCAGAGCTGATAATGAAGGTACTATGGCAGTTCAAAGTTAGTATTGCAGGAGTGTCCACATGGCACTGCTGAGGGACATCTGGGCACCTGGCCAGAAGCCAGAGCTCTGCCTTTGCATACAAAGTCTAGCAGCTCTCGGCTCCCAGAACTCTAATTGGAGTGTGTGGTCCATGGAGACTGCAGGGGCTCTGAGTTAATTTAAGCCCCCTGGTCTCCATATGAAATGCTGTGGCTGTGGGTGGCATTTCCAGTTTGCAGATTTGCACAGTTGTGGTGACCGCCTTGTGCTACTTGGTGGACTGCTTATAGGGAATTCTGCTGAAAAATGTAAAATAACTTATAGCTTAGATGTTTTTGGTTTTCTTCTTAAGATAAAATTGCTACTGGAAAAAGGAAACATGAAGATGATGTTCCAGTATTTGAACAAATTGAAAACACATCCGATCCAGCTAGATGCCCTGTGAAAATGTTTGAGTGCTATCTGTCTAAAAGGTAAGTGTGATACAGGGTAATACGGACAGGATCTAGAGTAAAACAGGTCCAGAAAGGAATAATGCAACATGAAATGTGCTCAAACAAAGCGAATGGATTGAAATCTTCTGAAAAATACCTAAATGAAAGTATTGAAATCTCCACTTATGTATCTGAACAAGATGTGCATAAAGTGTGGGAGCAGTGGAGTACTTCAGTGTTAATTGTCCAGGGCTCCATCTGGGAATAACAATGCAATTAAATTTTCTTACCTGGGAATGCCAAGTATCTCTGCAGAGAATTAAACCAGCAAGGGATCTGGTGGGTTTTGCTACTGATGGTTTTGTTTGTGAGGTCTCCATCTCTTCACTAGGAATTGGGTTAAGACAACGGATTTGCTTCATTATAAGCTATCAGGCATCTGAAATGTAGATGCTTTTGAGGTACCCAGTGTGGAAGCATGTTTAAAATATTTTGTAGTAGGAAAATAACTACTGGCATTAACCCAATATTTAGAATTAGCTTGTTTCCATCCAATCTCCACAATTAATTGTGCAGGAAGGAAGGAAGGAAGCAGAATTTATTACACTTTATAAAAAAGCTTAGGCAACTCTTAAAAAATTAGTTTACTAGCTTGGTGGTTTGGAAGCTTGAAAACAAGATTTCTTGGAAAGTACTTTTCCTTAACTGTAACAGTCACTCAAGTGACTGATTTTAATGTTCTGTGTAACTCTAAGGGAAATGAGGGCAAGTGATACCAAAGAAATAAAATCACCTGGTATATACAAGACAAATCACGTATGAGACTCGGTGTGTGTTAGGAAATGGCATTGTGGTCTGTAAGGTGAAGGAGGAGCTCACACACTGCACCAGAAGTACAAGCATGTGATGTTATAGAGAGAAACAAGTAAAGAGGTGCTTGTGGTCTGGTAATGCAACCACCTGTTTTTCAAAAACTCAGTCGTTCCTGGTTATTGCAGGGGGATTTTGCCTTCACTTCCTCTGCTTTCATGATTTGGAGAGGAATTGTCATTAAAAAGTCAAAGTTGGACTTTTGGACTGAGTTACACAGTCACTGGGGGAGAGACCACATAATTTTTTTTTTCTTTAGTAGGAACATCTCAACTTTGGGGAAAAGAATGCCCTTAAACCCATTTGGAGCATCAGTTATGGTGTGGTTTCAAACCATGCTGTCTTGCAGATGTTGCTCACCATTGTTAACCAAAGCAGCAAGACTGTTTCTCCAGTTCTGTTTCTTAATTTTGTTGAAATAATTTTAATTGAATAATTTACACCATAAAAACTATGGTAAAATTTTAGGTAATGCCAGCTGTTTGAAATATATTTGGCAACCAGTGGACAGCTGTAGCTGAAATTTTAGGATGCTTTCATTCACAGATATGAAACATTGTATTATTGTCTCATTATAGTCTCAAACTGCATGTGGAAAGTTTAGGTTGGACATTAGGGAGAAATTTCTCCACAGAAAGGGTAATTAGACATTGGAATGAGCTCCTCCCGGAGGTGGTGGAGTAACCATCCCTTGAGGTGTTTAAGGAAAGACTAGACGTGGCATTCAGTGCCGTGGTCTGGTTGACGTGGAGGTGCTGGGCCACAGATCAGACTCGATGATCCCAGAAGTCTTTTCCAACCTAATTGATTATGTGGTTCTGTGATTGCTTGTTCCTATAAAAATACTGTTGTTTCAAGCAAGTAGGGAGGAGGTTAAAATATTTAAATTATTAGACTATTTTAAGCAACCATATTTTACTTCTTATCTGACTCTTGATCTGATCTACGTGAGAGCAAAACAATCTGACAATCACCCCAGCAGGTGAAGAGCAACACCTGAAATCTTATCAACCAATTTGGGAAGGTGAGCTGGTAAAAATCCTTATTTTTATGGAAGAAATGGGAAATAGAGTTGACTCCTGAAGTCTGCAGTATTTGTGAAGGAGGGAGCTTGAGTGATCACTTGCTCATCCAAAATTGAAAATTCTTTTCTGAAACTTGCCTAAATGGATGAACTGCTGGGATTTCCTTAAAGGAGTCTTCTCTAGTGTCATAAAGGATGTTTCTGAGCTGCATGTAATTCCATAATACAGCAGCTAAGGAATTAAGGGATTAAGATTTAGAACACGCAACCTTTTAAATAAAACAGGAGGAGGAGGGATTTTAGCTGCTTACATTTCTCTGCATCTCAGAACTACCATCCTTGGCTTTTTAAGCGAACCCCAGGCTTTACATTCAGAGGTAGCCACATCAGCAACAAATTCTGTGAACAATTGTTGGTGTAATTGATGGAATTAGTGTTGGGCCTGCTTTGCAAACCATGGAAAGTACTTTCTGGTTTAGCAAGACCTGCATCTGCAGGTTTTTGAAGAGTCTGTGATCTCTTGCATGTTTGCTGAGTCCCAGGCATCTGGGACTCTGCAGATGGACTGGCTGGGTTTGGGCCAGACCAGGCATGGCTCCTTCTATCAATAAGACCACATTTCTCCACGTTATTCTTTTTGTTTTGGTTGGTGTGGGTTTTTTTTGGTAACTTGTCTGGGTGCAGTTAGAATTTTGATTGTGCAAGATTTTGGAACTGCTAACCTGTGAGGCTGGGTTTCTAACCCCCTGTGTTTTCCTCCTGGTAGCCCACAGAATCTGAACCAGAGGACAGACATGTTCTATCTGCAGCCGGAGTGCTCTGTGTCGGCGGAGAGCCCCATCTGGTACACTGCCACTTCACTGGACCGCAACACTTTGGAAAATATGCTCGTACGGGTTCTTTTAGTAAAAGATATTTATGATAAAGACAATTATGAACTGGATGAAGACATAGATTAAAACAAAACTTCCAAAAACTGTCAAGACAACAAACAGCATTAGATATAGTCATGCTGCTAGACCTTTACTATGGAAAACATTTCAAGTTTACCCTTTGTTTTATGAGTTTTGTAGCAGTGTGTACCCTTACCTGGGTATTACCATGTAAATAGTTTGTGAGTGAAAGTCTCCATTATTCTGCGTAGTGGTTTTAGGATACATAACAAACACATTTCAGATCTTTTTTTATTATTTATTTGATTAGGTATGTATGTAACTTTTTACATTGCAAAATATGAATGAGAATGTGCCATGTGTAATTTTTTTTCCCCTTGTGGTAAGATACATCCATGTTGCACAACTCTGCTGTTGGAAGCTCCCTTGGAGGAGGCTCTTTTAATGGCTTCTTAAACCAGATGGTTGTGTATGGGTAGCACTACTAAAGTTTAGAACTTGCTGTGTCTTTCAGAATTTTTAAATGAATTGTAAACTAATAGGTTTTTTACTTTTTAGTTACTGAAGCCTTATAAGGTTATGTAGAGAGATTCCATCTTATGTACCAAAAATAGACAAAAGAGAATGCTGTCAATATTGGTGTACTGTAATGTGAATCTATTCTGGTGAAAACACCTTTTTGTTGCCCTTATTAAAACCTTAGTGTCCTTTCGTTATTTGTGACTCTCTCTCAATTGCCCCTACAAATAAAATATATATGTAAAAATAAGTGAATATAAGCTTAGAGCATGTGGTCATCAAGACATGTATTTTGTTAAAAGGAAAATTGAAACCAAAAGCCCCTCAAAAAAAAGGAAAAGGAAAAAAAAGAGATGTCTGATGACAATGCTGTATTATTCTTTTCTCATCTTTACTTTTCAATCATAAATGCCAGTACCTCATATTAATGTAAATTTGTCCTTTGTAGCCTTATAGAAAGGGTTATATGCCACATTACATGGAGTAATATGGTATGCTAAATTTTAACTTGTATGTCCTTTCATTGCTGTATTTGAATACAGTCAATACTTGACTATGGATGGAAAGATTCTTTTAACTAATGCCTCCATTCAAAAGCCATATGAGATGTGAAGTTGCAACAAGTTAAAAGATAATTTTTCTTGAAGAAAATCCTTTCATTTGCTCTCTATTCTTTCCTTGTTCTTACTTCACTCAAGTAGTCTGATTTCCAGATACATGTTTAACTGCTTAAATTTTGTTACTTGCTCTTATTTAACTAATACAAACAATATGGTGGTTTAAGCAATGGATTTGCTGTTGTACTAAAAAAAATGTAGTAGAGTATTCTACTATAAAGAACTCATAAGCTTAAGTCTCTCCTAAATGGCATTAATTATCTGTTGAGAGGAATCTACTAAAGGAGAAACTTCCTATGTATATATATATTACCACCTGCGGATTTATTTCTTGCAAGGGCTGCATGGCTTTTTCATTTTCCTTAGCTGAAAAGAATGCACATAAGGATGCATCTTTCTATATAGATAAATAAAGCTTCAGTTGCTTTGTTTTGTTAAACAAGTTTATTTAAATTTCTGCTATTCTGGTGTGTCTGTGAGTATGTATTAATTTTAGATATACCACTATTTCTAATGGAGATGGAAATGTACATATTTAATTTTTCATTTCTTTCTGATGGCATTACCCTTCCTGTGAAATCAAGAAATACAACACAGCACCAGTGAGTAGATCAACAGCTTCAATGCATTTTTCCCTTTGTGAGTGAATATTTAAGAACTTCATTCATTAACCCTTGTTTTTTTCAAATAGCAGCCATAGAATGTCCATGATACATAAAAGAGATGAAATCAGGAACTGTAGTCATGGTTTTGTTCTGGTCTCTCCAGCTTTTTTAACACCTGACTTGACCATAAGTTAAATTTACATATGGAAATCATAACTAATTACCTGTGTTAAATGAAATTCGAAATATTTCATTTGAACATAACTTTTAAGTATTTTGATAAATAGCAGTAAGGATCACTTGCAGCCCCTTCTCTATAGTTCAGACTTCGGGGACTTCAGCAGAGGTTTCAGTTGCTCCTGGATTATAAATGTGTTTAATGACAAACACACTTTTGTAAAACTGCAAACCTTTAATGTGAAGCTGAAAGTTAAGTATATGTGTTGAGTGTTTTGTCTCCAACAAGAGTTTTAAATTTTTTTTCTCAAAATCAGATTACAGCTTAAATAGTAAGGTCAGTCTTTTGTATTGGCATGTTGAACAATCTCTAGGCATTTTCTGCACCAGGAGGAAATACTTAATGCTTCTTAAATTTTATCAGGAGCCACATTATTGTTGTAACTTCCTTCCATTTTCTACTCAAGATTCATCTGCCATCAGTAAAAATGTCCAAGCTGGGTTTTGAAATAGACATCTTTACATATAGATCCATGTTGGAAATGTAAAGATGGTTGTTAAGAAAATAACTTTTATTCCAGAAGATGGAGCTATTCCATCATCAGCAATAATGCTTTCTGAGTGGTTCATGTGTTCAGATTGAACATTGTAAACTGCAGCGATATTGCAGTCAAGTCTGCATCATAGTTCGATGTATGCATTTTATTCCTAAATTTGAATGGTCATGAGAAATGCAATAAAATACCTTAGTTCTGAAAAAATAAAGATATGCAATTTTATAGTAATTAGGAGTTCAGGGCAAATATTTTTTTTTTTTTTTTTTTTTGTTCCTTTGGCAGAACTGTCAGCAGCTGGAGTAGAATAAGGTTGATGTCAAGGAATTATATGCTGTGCAGGACAAAATATGATGTTCTGTTCTACACAGGCACACAGCTTTCAGCTTTCAGGTGGTGTGTCTATGAAACCTGCCCTCACTTTCCTCCCTAAGAGGGTGTGAAGTGGCACCCTGGCTATTGAGGGCATCCCTGTGAGCTCTGGCAGAGATCACCTGAGGAATGGAGTGTGGGGACTACACCCCTCTGTCCACACTCAGCCCTGCACTCCAGTCCTGGCGGGGTTTTCTTAACTTCTTCAGTCGGGCCAACATGTAACAACTCTGCATCTCCTTGCTGTCAGATCAAATACTGAACAATTCCCACTGAGAAAGTTAGCAGCAATAAGAAAATCACAGAGAAAATATAGTTCAGTGTGAGAAACAGTGAAAAATTCATGGAATTTTCACGAAATAAATTTACTTTGTTAGTCATCTTTTTTATCTGTGACTGTGTTCAGTCAATGAGAATCACACAGCTTTTTGTAATTAGGGAACTAAGCATAAATTACAGGTTTATTTTTATTGAACAAAAGGTTATGGTTGTGAAATAATTTCAGTGTGTGCAGTATTAATTACCTTTAAAGTAGTCACAATGGGATTCTACAGTGCAGCAAAATTTGTTTTCTTAGTGTCTGTGACTCTGTCCCATGAGAGGCTGTGTAAATAGGTGGGAAAAACAGGAGAGGTGGTCCATAAACCTTGCAATCCCACAAGGAAGGTGGTGTGTGAGATGGAAGAAAAAGGGCATGAGTAGTGGTAGGAAAACCTATCCCATACTCATTTTTGCTGACCTTTTTTATTATATAGGAGGGATTTTTTCTGTTCCACTTTCCCATTTTGTCTGTTACAGATAGGAACAGCAGTTAAATATTTTAATTTCCGTTTTTTAAACATCGACTCTTCAGTTCATTGCGCTCATGTTGTGCATTATGTGGAGGACTGAGTATGTGGCAGAGTAAATGGATTGGGAGTTTAAATTACTGAGATGCAAGAGGGTGTTTGGCCATCACAAGTGAAATGTGTCTCTGGGTTATAATGCCAAAGGTTAATGATGTTTTGGAAGCATTGAATTTGAAGTGTTGAAACCCAAAAGCTTCAGCACATGAGCCACAGTGCTTGGGACCAGCATGTGATGGAGTTTGTGCTTTGAAACTCAGGCTGGTGTTTGTGTCTGTGACACAGGGAAGCAGGACAGAAAACGGTGACCATGTCCACTTTGAACAACTACCAGAGTTTAAAAAGTTGCAGGTTTAAGATCTACTTTTTGATGAGACCACCTGAGCTTCTGACACCTGTTACGACTTCCTGCATAGCCTGGCTCAAAGCTTTTAGGCCAGCAATTGCTGCATGCACGGTGGATGTGGAAAAGACGTTTGTATTTAAAAGGGTTTAGTCTGGTGAGTTTTTATTTTCAGGAAATTGGTGCGTTGGTGTTTCCAAATACATATATCTGGAAAATTGTTTCCTCACCCAAGAACTGTTTATGTTTATGGAATAAAGCTACTGACACATCAGTCACGCATGACACATTTGCAAGTGCATAATTTGAGTAGGGAAGGATGCAGTTAACTCTGTATTATGTCTCAGGTATGGTGAGGTATTGCAGCACTGCTGATTGTTTCATGACATGTTTTTCTATCTCCACTGTACTTCCCCCCCACCACCACACCCCCTTCCTTTATTTGTGTTTGGTTTTGTTTTACTTGATGTGTGAAATGGAAGAAGAAAATCTCTGAAGGTGACAGAGTTCTTGGAAAAATCCCTCAAGGACACCAGCAACCATTTCCTCTGTTGCTGGCAGGCGGATGTGAGAGGTGGCAAGGAGCCATAGAGTAGCCCTCTTGTTAGTCATAGCTAGGAAAATACCGCATGAGTGCCCAGATTCTGCTGATCCCGTCATGAAGCATGATTTTTCCTGGGCAAACCAGTGTCAGTGCCAGTCCTGGAAACACCTCTGAGTAGAGCAATTTCTGCAGATGTTCACAAAAACCAAATAGAGGAAGAAAATGAGAGGATCAAGCTCAACTTTGATTTCTTAACTCAACTACTTTTTCAAATCCCAGCAATTGAGTGTGAATGAGGTGTGAACATGATTTGAGTTCTGCTTTCTCTGAAATGTGGCATTTCCTGGAGAGGTGGTATGTGGCACTTCTGGCTGCCACCTTACCTTGGAGCAGAGGACAATGTCAAGGCAGCAGCAAAGCTGCTTTTACCTTCCTGACATGACAGCTAAAAGCTTCCTAGAATTGTTCCCCAGGTTTAAATCTTTTCTTGGCCCAAATTACTGGGAGTTTGACAGAAGTGCAGATACTGAAAATGTGTCCCTCTGTCACTGGGTGCCTGCAGCTGTGCAGGACGTGAAAGCTTTGGGAGGCAAAGCCCATGGATGCCAAGCAGGAGAGGCAGTAGGTTGGACTTGAGATACCTGGAAAGAGCAAAACCTAGCATTAAACCAGCTGCTTCTTTGAGTTATACCTGCTCCTGGGGTTTCAGTTCATATATTAAATTTTTTTTTGTCTGTTTTGGTGACTAGGTCTTTCCCCAAGCAGGAGCAGGCTGCTTTGGTGTCTCTCAGAACTCCTCAAGGATGAGTCTTATGCCCAGTACAAAAAGAGCTGGGGTTATTAGCACCTGCTTCCTTTCTTTATATATTTGTTGATTTATTTATTGAAATAATTGTTCCTGGTTCACAGTCACAGAAGAGGAAAGTGTTCAAAGCGTTAGTGGATTGTGTCGTGTACCAATATGCCTAGGTACTTGTAAGTACTTCCTCTATTTTGTTTTTATACTAAAATTCTGGTTCATAAAACATGAAACCTCTGTCCTTTTAGGCAAAGGAATAGGAACATCCTTGTCACCCGTGTAATTTAAACTGCTGACATTTCACTTTTGCCAAAACATGTGAAAATGCTTTACCAGTTTAAAATGTGAAAAATTATTTTATTTCTTAGTATATTAGCTGAACGAGTAATGAAGATTACTTCCAGTCATGAAGGCTATTTCTGCTTTCAGCATGCATTATACAAGGCAATATGTGTAGTATTTGCATTTCTAGTCTTTAATTAACATTTTTTTAAATACCCTACTTGGAAGTAAAGAGCGAGCTTTCAGCTCAGGATAAAGCTCTGTCACTAAGACAAATGAAGGGGCTCACCATCATTGCAAAATCATCAGCCTCAGTACCTCTGGAAAAAAACTAATGCCAGAAATCTTCCCTTCTCATTATATCTTAAAATATTTTCTGCTTGTCTTTTCTCCAGCCCCATATGTGACATCCACATTAGTATATAACTACTCTAGTGTGGTAATAAAAAGAATAAATACAATGAGATTTATAATCTCATTTCTGTTAACTTAAGAAAGAAAGCTTTTTTGGTTCGGTTTTTTTTCCCCCTTCTGATGAATTCTGGCTGTGTATCAGCGACCAACAGGGATTAAAGGTGAAAGCTGTAAAACACAGTAAGTAAGAAAAGACAAGTTTGAAAGAGAACAGGAGGAAGAGTAGTCTTTGGCCCTAATGTCAGCTGACAGAACTGAGAAGGCCTTTGAATTCTCTACCAGTGTGTCCATTCAGTTCAGGTTGGTTGGAGATAGGACCCCAGGCACCTTTAGCAATGGACAGACTTGTTCATATACATGTTTTGTATCTTGGACAGCTTCTACTGAAGCAGACATCTCTGTGGACCTTCAGGCAGAGAGTATTTCTTGTAATAAAATTCCAACTCACCCCCAGAGGTGGTGTCCAGCTTGTATTTTGGCATATTTTAAAAAAGTGTTCTCACC